AGACTTCAGTGTGTCCTTGACCTCAGCGAGGAGACCTCTGGCAATGGTGTCTGCTAATATGACCTTGCAGGTCTTTGGTACATCTTGCGTAGCCATCGTTCGGTAGGAATCAGACTAGACTAAATCAGCTGCTAGATTCTCCTAAATCTCTGAATCTCTATAAGGATAAATATTGTATGAGATGCATCACAATCGAAAGACAGAAATTCTAGAAGTTGTATCACAAATGGGACGAATGGGATGTGAATCGTGATATATATAATACAGGGGTGAGTGAATTTCGACATACCTGCCCCACTACAAATGCTTGTAGTGCCCCGCGATCTAAATTGAGGGAGCGTCGCGGCTCGTGTAGTTTGTGTAGGTGTTTGTGTTTGTGTACCGGTAGGTGTAGCGTGTGTAAGTTAACGTAAGCAAAGGGACGCGTATAAGAAATTTTAAGCTTATGGTGAAGAAGGTCTTGCGATAGAGAAATTTCTAATGACAATGGAAAGCTGTGAAATGGACGGTCAATTATATATCTAAAAGAAGAGTATGGGGAATGAGCGACTAAGTGTAGATTAATAGATCTCATCGTCAAACATCCGGAGTCGCTGTTAACTTTGAAGTCAAGTTTTTTTTCTTATCCTTTTGCGGAACCCCACTACGCTAGCGGATGTGACTCGTGTAAAAGTCCCTGAAAAAAAAATTGATTCCCCCTCTTACTTCTTTAGGTATGGAATTGGCTCTAAATCGGCAACTGTACAGGCACAATCTAGCCGGATCATCGTGCAGCCGCGGGGTCATTTCGTCATTTAGATTAGGTACAACCTTCAATGTTACCTTTATTATTATTATGTATGTACATCCTTAAGCCTTAGGTTAAGGTGTTAACGGAGTACCAAATTACCTACTTCGATATATTCTGACTGTTGCAATAGCGCATGATCAATACCTATTCACCGCATTTTCTAATAGGATAATTATTCCAGGGGTGTTCGTTAAAGAAAAAGCGCACCAAAAGACGCCTGTTCGACTTTGTCGAATAGCGTTGTCTTGTCCCACTGCAAAATATGGCGGGCGTCAAGTTTGACGATCTCGCTTTGCAGTATGTTCTCACAGATGAGAACGACCAGGAACAGGCAATATCGGAGAAAGCAGCCACAGGTAAGTTTTTCCCGTAACATAATGAAAAAGAAAAGAAAAAATGACATGCCAACACCATCTTCCAAGGAATCCAAGAGTCCACGAACAGCAGAATAGCCGTTGGCCAGTGGGTCGCATCCATAAATCGTTGGATTCAACCGGGCGATGATTCCAGTGATGATAACTTCATCGCGCGGGCAAAGGCGCTAGATTTTCTAGCCAGCACCCTTGGGGTTCTTAAGAAGAGAGATGTGCCCCTGAAAGCTGATCAAGTTAAGCTCTTGGTGACTTTCTTCGGTTCCCTCTTTTCAAGCGATCACCGAGCTGGTGTTACAGCTTCTGCTAAAGCGTTGAAGCACCTGGTTAGCATGAAGTCATTCCAACCCACCCTAGGAGATGATATAATTTCAAACGTCTGTAAATTGGGCGATGATTTCAAACTACAGACACCAGTGACACGCCTAGAGCTCTATGAATTATTTCTTGGGCTGCTCCAGGATCCTGCTGTGGCTAATGATCTTGAATACCGCCATGGAAACACGTGCGGATTTATAACCAGTCTTCTGGATCTGTGCCGGAACGAAAGGGATCCGTTGAATTTAATGAAGTGGTTTGAGATTCTAAAAACATTTCTGCAGAACTTTTCACCATCGGAAGATATTACGTTAGAGGTCTTTAAGACCTTCTCAGCTTATTTCCCCATTTCTCTGCGATCATCAGCTACACCGTCAGGTATTACCGCTGATGACCTGAAGGGCGCCGTGCGATCATGCTTCGCCGCCCATTACCGCGTGGCTAACCATGCGATACCATATCTTATTAACAAACTTGATCAGGGGGACGCGGTAACTGTTGCCGTAAAGGTCGACATCCTGCAGACCCTTGACGCATGCTTAGTACAATATGAGCATCCCAAGAAAAGTGTTGTTCCATTTGTTGATCAGATATGGAGCTCACTTAAATACGAGGTTCGAAACGGCGAGATTCCGGATACTATTAAGGCAACTCTGAAGGTCATACGATCCCTTACTACACGGCTTGACGAGGATGAGCTTCGATCGTTCTTAGCAAGCGCATGGAGGGATCTCGTTGAAGACTTGTCCAGTCCAACCTACACGGCTCAGGCTGGTAGGCTCCTGGTTGCAATTTCTGGGGCCAGTTTCCAGTCGTTTTCGAATATCGCTCCCCAGGCCATATCCCACACTCAATCTACACTTAGACATACCCAATCCGCATCGCATAAACAAGAACTCGTGGCATTACTCAATTCGATACTCACCATACGATCACATCTAGTCGATACACTGAAGGACGACCCGAATGTCGATAGGAGCTTGGGCCTGCTGAAGGACGAACTATTTGGCGATTCGCTCTTCTCTGAAGTTTATGCGCCTCTATGGGAAGAAATCTCGGGTTCTCAGGCAGCAGAGCAAGCAGGCATCTTCAAGAAGATCTTGGAAGGACTTGCTGTTCTTGTAGGACAACGATCTAGTGATGCCGGACCTTCTCATCAGCTATGTTCTCCTTCCACTTGCGAGAAGATCTTTAGTTGGCTCGCAAGCCCATCTATCATCTATCCTTTGGAAGGCAAAAAGTTCAATGAAAACAATAGCGATGCAAACCAAGACATCCGGGATACTGCTGTTGCGGCGCTGAAGGAAGCTGTACCTCTATACCCCCCCGCATTCCAGCTCCTACTGCAACAGTACCTCTCCTCACTCAAGGTAGCATACCAGCAGGAACTCGCTCTGTATGAGCTCCCCTTAGAGATTAAACTGGTCGCTGGTACACTATGCGAAGTTGGTAGCTCAAATTCGCCCGGAAGCCATTCGTTATTATCAAACTCCGTCTCCCTAATCAACGTCTTACTCGAGGGATTATTATGGATGTTGTCCGAGCAGGCACCAATAAGATATTGGACTGCGCTCATCTGTTCTATTCACTTTTCTATTATACAGTCCTTGGGTTCCACGTCAAAGCAAACGCCCGACCCCTTACAGCCAAAGCGGCCTGGTATTACAAGGGAATGGTACGTGCGATTTACCAAAAATATTGAGAATGCCGGGGCCCCTCGACTTGACTTAAACAAGTCTGGAAACCTCGAAGCGACAATTAAAGCACTCGAAGGATCAGAGATAGATGGGATCGACGCCCATCAGCAGCTATTGGCATACTCTCTATCCGTTGTGGAGCAATTATACCGTCGTTTCACCACCGTCCAGTACCAAGGTGATGAGAGCAACAGAAACGGACCCCAAATAGGACTCGGTAAAGATTTCAAGGGGGGACGTGATTCCAATATTGAACAAGATATATGTCTTCATCAACTTGGTCTTCTCGCCGCGTCAGTTGTTCGGGCTTTAAACGAGGAGGAACAGAAGGCTCTGGACCTAAGCAAGGATGCATTCATTCTTTTCCATAGTATTGATTCCACCAACGCCACTACTCCGGGACATTCAGCCTTGGAGACTATTGGAGTAAGCCCATTGGACGAATTCCGCACAGCACCTTTATCGATGGGTATCCTCCAGGGTCTCTATCCTGGCGTGATGAACGCAGAGGTGAGCAAAGAACATTTCGGCTCGCATTGATAGTAACTGACTGTATTTATAGTATCATGCCAATGCACTAAAGAATATTTGCACAGTCCTGACCACCCGCCTGTCACCTTGCTCAAATACAACAAGGGCCGCGTTAGATATTACCCTTACGATATTATCAAACAAGCTCCGTATGGAAGACGAAAACCACAGCAACGTAAAACTACAAATTCAACAAAACTTGGTCGATACCTTAACAAACACTTTGAATCATATTTCGGGATTCAGTGTTCTCGTCGTCCGTAGCATTCTTCATTTCTTAGCCGGCGATGTGGCACGATTCAGGAGTAATCCTGATACACATAACGCATTACTCAAGATGGTGTGTGAAAAGGCGCCATCGGAACCCACATTAGGCCGCTGGTTATCAAGGAACTTCGAAGTACTCGTTAGTCCTAAGGAGTGCCTTGAGAAAGAAAACCATGCGATTCGGAAGAGGCTAAGCGGCGAGTGGCTGTACTTTAAGGTCATCCAGCCTTATTTGAAGGACTGCTTCCCCAGCTCGGGGGTGGATGAGACAGTTACAGTTAATCGCGCTATAATGGTGTTCGCGATCCTAAAGCACCTAAAGTACGAACAGTACTCCAGCGACATTGAACAGATCGTGCGGATCGGTATCCGGTCTCTATCTACCTTCGATGCCGGCGTGGAAATGGAATACTGCCTCAACGTCCTGCTACAAGTACTTGAGAAGGAGCCGGACGCACTTAAAGAGCATATAGCTGGTCTTATCTCAGGTATGATCGTAGTCTACAAGACGGCTAGAGGGGGGAGCGAAACTACGGGGTCAACAGAGGATCATACGGCGTTGAAGAGCAGAGGAAAGGAACGAATCCTGTGCCGGAAATTCGCGTTGGAATTCTTCCAGAAACTACCAAACTCGTACGAGTCTCAGTATCTCGTGCCTTACCGCCAGCAACTACTACGTCCTCTGTCGGCGGCTTGTGGAGACTCGGTTAGAGAGATTCGTCGAACGGCACTGGCGGCTAGGAAGGCCTGGGAAGCGCTTGCTTAAAGATTTAGTGCTGAGCATTTGTTGAGGTCCTCGATGACCGACTGGAATATTGTCGTACTTGGCTACTATAGTCCAGATAGGGCTTGACTCTTAAGTGGTAGTTGCTCTTAGCATAGGAGATACATACCAAAGCATATGCGAACTGTCCTCGATAGCTACATTTAAGCACGTTTCAGTAGTTTAGTGACGTTCTCGTTATAATGGAGTAACATACGAATACATTGTAAACGGCACAAAACTATTCACGAGCAAGGTATCGCATCAGAAGATATGGCATTATATTTTAACACATGAACCCATGCATTACTAGATTATTCAACTACGCCTTTCTGCGCTTCGACTTTTTGCTACCTGACGCCGCCTCGGCACCAGTAGACGTAGACTGAGAAGCCGCGATGGCATCCAGGACGTCCGCATCGGCATTTAGAAAATCAGGCACTGGCGCAGCGGCTTGCACGCGCTTGGGATCGGCCTTAGCGATCAACGGCACGGCCGTGGCGAAGACGGTTTGGAAGGGCCGCGCGATGAAGTGGCCCTGCACGTCGAACCACTCCGTGAACGGCCGCGCTAGTTCAATCGTTTCTGGTGCGCCGTTCTTAGGCGTCACGGTGATCTTGACGTTATATACTGGGACGTTTTTCTTCGTCGAGGTAGATATCGAGATCTATAGTCGTTTTAATTAGTCGGAGCCCTACAAACTACTACTACTACTACTACTATTGTCACCCTTTCGAGGTTGTGAACAGCATAAACATACCTTCGACCCGTCCGGCGCAACGCCCTGGTACACAGTGCCCTTCTCCACGAAGCCGATCCAGTACGTCAGGATGGCGTTGAGCAGGGCGTACACGGCGACAGCAGCAGCAGTGTAGTACTTGGTAGCCTCGAAGCCGAGCTTGTAGTCCCAGGCGAAACAGGCGGCGGCGATGGCGAAGGCGCCGTACCCGAGAGCGAGCCGCGTGTCGATTAGCCGGTGGTCCTGCTTGAACTTGAGCGAGTTGAGGTAGTTGGGGATCGCATCGTCGGACGTGTTCTTCAGGTCTGCGGGGGGGGGAGGAGTGTAAGTGTTAGCGGGTAGCTGGTTGGGTTTTATTTAAAAGGAAGAGAGGAGTGGAGGATAGTACCCGCGAGGTTGTGGACGGAAATTCGTTCCTGGGAGGCCATATTTAAGCCTAAGTCTCTATCCTAGTGCTTGGAAGGAAGCTTGTAAATTGGATTCGCACTCGGGTCGTGGCCGGCTGTGGGTAGATATTGAGGTGAAGGGGATGATAGCTTAGGTGGCCTTCTTAGTTGAATGTCTTAATTGAGTGTCAGCTTGGAAAGGTACGAAATACTTCATAGTGTAACTGAGAGGTACGGATTACCTTATGTACATACATTTGCATATGTGGCTTTGGGGGTGGGGCGCTTTAAAGTCCAGCCCTGTACCGAGCTAGTGTAACGTTAATGGAACTCTACTTCGTATCGCATAATATCATAATTAATGCCGACTTAAGCTACAACCATCATCAAGTGTGTTGTAGTATTTTGACAGACACCTACTGTTAGACTACACCATTGAGTTCACACGATGGCTCAATTACCGCCGCAGACGATCCATAGGGATCCCCAGCTTTTGTAAGTTTTAACTGAATCCCTAGAATCATACCGAAGCTCTACTAACTCCGCTTGATAGCTACTGGATCCTGCTTCCGATTACTGCTGTGATGGTAAGCCCATATGTCCTTTGTATACGAGATGCTCGTGTGCTGATCAAGGAATAGATTCTAACTGGCGTTCTGCGATACTATGCCACCGTCCTCATGCAAACGCCTCCCAAGAAGCTCGACCAGAAAGCCACGAGAGAGCAACGGTCTCTACTACATGGTATCGCCGTGCGTAGTAACTTTCACGTATTATCTGCACCATCTTTCCGCGTGAGGAGAGACTACCTCATCAATGCCTACGAATCCGGCGCTTTCCTGAAAGATCCCGAGCGTCGCGGCCAGCCTCCCCCGAACCCGATGACCGATCCCGGTGCCATGGACGGCATGATGGGTATGATGAAGAATAACATGGCCATGATGATTCCGAACACCCTTATCATGAGCTGGATCAATGCCTTCTTCAGTGGATTTGTTATCATCAAGCTACCTTTCCCTCTTACCATCAAGTTCAAGAGTATGTTACAGGCCGGCGTCGCAACCAAGGAAATGGATCCCAGATGGATGTCGAGTATCAGTTGGTACTTCTTGTGCTACTTTGGTCTGCAATTTGTATTCAACTTCTTGCTCGGGAATGAGAACGGTGAGTCCTTTGGTGTCGTATTAGGTTGGGCGTAACGAAGCTGACTGTATACTAGCTGCCAACCAGATGGCCCAACAGATGTCGGGAATGGGGCCCCAAAACGCCCAAATGTTCGGGCCTGGTGTTGATCCTGATAAACAGTTCAAGACGGAGGCTGAAAACCTTGCTGTGGTTGAACATTACTCGGTCTTGGACGGAGTAGAAGATCGATTACTCGAGGGTATCAAGTCTAAATAAGAGGGCTGAGTAGCTAATCAGCCAAACCTACGCAAGTAGCGATTCCCAACCAAACGCCACCATATGCAGTTGTATACAGTTAGTTAAAGAAAGCACCTATGAAATCACTCCCACCACAAACAGACCCCGAGACCTTCCTTCATCATAGTCCCCTTTATGCGGTAAGGGGATAGCTTCTTCGCCTTGTCGACTGCTTCTTCCTCGGCACTCTCAGGAGTCTGGTCGTGCCATTCCTCTTCAATTACCTGGAGGCGAACCATCTCGTTCTTGTCGTACCACATCGGATCACCCTCGGGGTCATAGATCCATGTCCACGCATTCTCATTATGGTTGCTAGAGGGTGGTGAGTCCACTTGCAATGAATATGAATATAGAATAGACCGGGTGGTACCTACTATTGTGTGTTTTCGGGTAACTCCTTATACTCCACAAATATATCTTCAAAGAATTCAGTGCGGACTGGTATTAGTTAGTGGTAGTTTTCTATGAAGGTGCGAGAAGTTTGATGGAGAACATACTGTGGATTCCATCTTGACTGGCTTCACTGATCCTCCCAAACACGGTCTCACCCTTGAAGGGCCTGAAGACGATCATACGAAACTCGACTATTATCTAAAAGTTAGCATTGCTGTTTACGAGCTGTTTCCTCGTAATAAAATAAATAGAAGATGAGATATACCGTTGACATTAACCATACCACTTCCATGGCCGATGAGACCCTCAGACGCCCATAGTAGGTCATACATGCAGATACAAAGACCGATCTTCTGGATTACCCGGTTCGCATACTTAGCATTGATGCTGTCTTCTATCGCGATATGGCTGGGCTTCTCAAAATTGTCTGGCCTGATCTGCACCAGATCGGCAATCTTTGTCTGAGATATGGTTAGCTACAAAGATCTGGCATCCGCATAAGTTAACTAACCAGAATGAACATCGTTGCGACCGTAGCTGTAGTTGTCGTTATGAAAATCTCATCCTACGCTGGCTCATTTACACAGTATAGCAGAAGTAATGGGACTTTTTCTGAACTGTTTTTGTGTCTAGTGTAAAATGTAGAACGTAAAGCATACCGTATAATTGCAAAGACTTGTACTGTATAAGATATAATTCGAGAGACCGACAGTGCACATGGGGAGAGAGGTAGGTGCGGCTGAGAGTCGTATTATCGATATTCCCACTCCGACAGTCCAACTTGATGAGTCAGGATTTTAGGTCTGCGCTAGCGTCGCGCTAAAAAGTATTATCGCGTTTCCATAAAAAAATCTTGCAGGGGTCCAGCTGTACAAGCCTTCAAAAATAGGAACCCACACAACATAATCATTCATCATATACAACTCAGAAATCTTCTAGTTAACCTCCATCGAAGGACAACGTCTCTCTAGATATTTTGATTCTTCCCACGTCTTCAATCGTGACCTTTTCTAATTGATCCTCTTCGCACTCTGTGTTTCCCCTTTTTCATTCTAGTACACTAAAATCACCGATCTTGAAAGTCACCAGGCGGTGTGATTTTACCCCTTGCCTACCTATACAGTGGGCAGTTAGCCTCTGGTATGTTTAACTTCTCTATCTATTTTGTGATATTGTGGTATATCTTCTAACATCAAGTCCTCTAGTTATCCCTCAGGCTAACCTTTACTTACCTCTCTTTCTCAACTTACTTCTACAAATTCAACATGAGCAGCTATCCCTACGCACCCCCTCCGCCAGCTCCCTCAGCAGCTTCGCCGGGCCCGTATCCCCCGTACGGTCAAGGACCAGGGTATTCTCATACGCCTCGTGGTGGCCATGCTGCAGCAGCGAGTAGCGGCAGAGGGCATGGCCATCACCAAGGACCCGGCCGTACTGAATACGGCTCGCCTTACTATCAGCAACAAGATTACTCTGCCCCTAGCGGTGGGCCGTACAACCCTCCTCAACCGACTAGTTACTGGCAAGGAACTCCACCCGCGAGCCACGGTCACCATAACGGCTCGTCTCTTCCGCCAAACTATCCTCCTAGTTACGCACCTCAGGGGTTTCACCCTCAGCCCAGCCAGTCCTACCAACCGCCATATCCCAACCAATCCTCTCGTCCTCCATATGGAGCTCCCTACGGTCAAGCGCCTAATGAGTATGCTCAACAACCTGTTCAGCCATGGGGCGATCAAGCTCAATCATTTTCTCACTATTCTAGTCGCGGCGGACGTGGCGGATATCCGAGTGATCGAAGTGGTCCTCTACGCAGTCCTTATCCTCCTACACATCACCAACCAGCTCCCCTCCAGCAGCCGTCGTACGGCTACCCCCCAGCCCCTTCCCCATCATATTCCGGCCCACCACAGTCTCATTATGGATCTAGTAGAGGACATGGTCGTGGTGGTCACGCTCACTCGAACAGAGGAGCTATGAACAGTGATCGTGGCGAGAAGTTTCGCCCTCGTGACCAGAAGCCGCACCAGCCGTCCAACAACTATCAGAAGTCTGATCCTGCTGGCGCCAAGAAGAAGAAGCGCAAGACAAATACACTGGGACTAACCCCAGGAGACGATGATTCAGACGATGGTGTGGATGAGGAGAAGCGCCTGGAAGAGCTGCTCGGCACAGATGCCCCAGGGTAGGTTGTAATTCTACACCTATCTGCTCTATAGTCTAAGCTAACTGAACAGTTACAGTATACCTGATGGTGATTTAGCGAAGTGGATAGCGGAGCGTAAAGCGAATTACCCGACCAAGACTCGTGTGGCCCAGAAGAAGGAGGCAGCAGTACTCTCGACACCGGCAGTTAATGCTAACGACGGCAAGGAGACTGTCATCACTCAGGTCGATCCGGTCGAAAAAGAAGCAGATCGTCTACGTAAGAGGCTGGCGAAGCTCGACCGCCAGATTGAGAAGCGCAAACGTGCACCTAACGATGAGGGTGACGAGATGCGCTTGGAGTCTTCGGACGATGAGTCGGATGACGAGCAACCTGAAGCCTTGCCGACTGACAAGTCAGCCAGCGGATTTCTGCCTCCTCCCCCGATCACGCGGGCTGACCCCTCAAACCACTGCAAGTACTACTCTACGGGAGGGATTTGCGGCAAGAAGGGCAAGTGCCGTTTTGTACACGACCCAGCCGTTCGCGAGGCTGCTCTTCAGGAGCGGACGAGAAACGGAGGTCGAATGACCCTTAAACAGCGCCTCCTCCTAAATGACAAGGATCAAGACGACATGGAAGTGATCAAGACGATTGTGGATATGCGCTCCAGCGGACGCTTACACGATCCTCATACCTCTACCGATCAGCAGGACAAGGAGAAGGTCGCCGTCGCTGCTGTTTCTTCGTTACCCACTACTGGCGGGGAGGCTAACCTACCACCTAACCCGTACGCACACCTGAAGAACGCGGATAGAAACCAACAGTACCGCAAGCCTAAGAAGCCTAGTGATTGGTCCTCCCCCACCCAAAACCAAGGATGGAATATCCCCGGCTACGGAGGTGCTGGCATGCCACCTAAGTAGTTGCCACAGTTATGCTCTGGATGGGCATAGCTTTCCCACCAATCCGACACCAGTTTGCAGTGCACAGATTACAATTTTCCTCATCAATGTGATGAGTTTGAGCGATAAAAGCGTTGCCATGTGGCACGTAACAGCCCATAGGCGCCTTTCGGATTAGTTATCCACCAAATATTAGGGGATGCTGAATTTCTGACAATGGTTCGACATATTCCTCGTTACCAATCGCGGGACATCATGGTTCTCACACGTCATTTTTCAACCTACTCGTTGTTCGTTTTCTTCGTCCAGGACCTGCCAAGCTGTAGCAGGCGTTGTGACGTTAGCATTTACTTCGGTTTATTACTGTTTCCCATACTCTACATTCCTTTTCGACACGCGCGGATTAAACAAGAGATTGAATTTTATTTTACTACGTGGAGTACGTGGAGCGATTTCCGCCTTTGCTCTAAATTGCATTCATCGACATTTTCCAATTTTGGGGAGCAAGTTCCGAGACATGTCCGTACATTTTGCACCCAATTTATCTGCTACCATGGTCACTATGGCATTTGGGGGGCGTCTGGCGCGGGCACCGCTAAAAGGGCTTGCAAGGACAAGCCTGGCTAGGGAAGGATCGCGGGTTAAGTTGCTGGCGTATATGGATAGATATTAGGTTGCTGGCGTCTGGATTCATAGGCTGGCTGGCAGTGTGTATAATTTCTAGTTCTTACTCTTTCGCTTTCGTACTGTGACTATTTGACCACCTATATTATATTTTCAACTTGATTTGTGGATGTGATTTAACTTGTAGTATAGTATAGTTACTCGACTTGATTACAGGAATCATAGACTAAGTTTGGGTGCTGTGGTTTTAAGAGGTTAGATGGTCTAAATCAAATCAGGAGTCATGGTTTATGAGTGTTTCATAATATCTTTTGAATATATACCTTTTTTTTTCATCTCATCTATCTACCTCAGATATTGGTGTCGGCTTACTTGCATGTCCATCAAACGCCTGACGCCATTTTTAATGCATGATGATAGTTACCTACGTATCTTCCTTTTCCGTGGCGAGTGCTCATCTATTCCGCCCCAAAGATGTCCACTTAGAATAATTTACTATAGTAGTAGACATTCTAGCGTCGCTTTCTTCCTTTCATCATTTCGTCCATGTTTCTGTTGGCTGAATTTAAACCAGCCAACTAAACACGGACCGGAAAACTCCCCCATCGAAGTCAGGGCCTTCGTCATCGCCTCAGTCCCCATTCCTATTTCCCTTTTTCGTCATTTTCCCATTTCCTTGACCGAAGGTGAATATAGGAGTCGTAAACCACGCCAGTTTAAACTAGTAGCACCGCATTTACGCAACCGTCGTTCTCGCAGTTGTTCGTGATCTGGGCGTACCGGGCCCAAGCGACCTTGCCGCCGGCAGTGACAAGTCCGAGCTCGGATACGTTGACTTCGATGATGGTACCTTTGCTTAGAACACCGAGCTGCGTGTACAGCGGCTGCTGGGGGTTTTTCTTGACGCTGACGATGGGGAGCTGCAGGGTTACGCCTAGCTCGGGGTGTGTCACGTTGGCTTTCTTGTATCTATGGGGCGCGGGGGATTAGTATAAGGAACTGAATACTGGAATATAATAATAGTCTACGTAGATAAAATGGAAAGGGGGATGGAGATATAGACGTACCGTAGACCCATAGGCCGTATAAAACGCTCGTACTTGACAGGCCGCCTCGTGAAATCGGGACCGACAAAAGTAGGCTTGGTAACCATGCGCTTCCAGCTCTTCTTGTGGACCTTCTTTCCGGTGCTGATGACCTTGAACATCTCGTCCTCGCTGATGCCGCGGACCTTGGGGAGGGGCACGGCGAACTTGGCGGCCTTCTCGGCGCGCTTGTTCTTGACGGCGGTGCTGAGGGCCTTAGCCTGGGTCGGGTTGGAGCGGTCGAGCAAGTAGTTGGGCAGCGGGGTCTTGGGGTCGTTCTCGGAGGCCGACTTGATGTTGCGCTCCTCGTGGGCCTTGATCTGCTTGCGCATCTGGATCTTCTCCTTGTGCCGCTTCGCCTGGTGCAGCTTCGCCCTCAGACCCCGCAGGTTCTGCGCGTCCTTGGACGCCTTGTGGCCTTCTCGCGCTTCGCGCTTCCGTGCCCGCTCCTCGTGGTCGAGACGGCGGCCGTGGGTCTTGCGGAACCGCTCCATGTACTCATTTTGAGGCTGTCGTGGGCGGTCTGTTTAGTATTATGGGAGGTAGACTTGTCTTTAGGAAAAAAAAAAAAAAAAAAGAAGAAGAAAAAAAGAGGAGGAATCTTACCATGGCGAATGGATTTGCCCTCGAGAGGGTCTTGCGGATTGGCTAGGAAAGGTTCACTTGGATCGAATTCCGGATTTCAGTATCAAGCCAACGGGCAATTAGAGATTATATTGTATCGTATTGTATTGAGGTGTCGGTAGCTAGTGATAAAAAAGTTACGGCGGTAGTTGTTATCGATCAAGGGACCCGCCACTTATCAAAATTTCCAGAGCTCCAGCCACATCGATTAGATACATGTATATGTACAAGTACATACCGAAGTACTCCTGCGACTAGGTACCTGTCTTCGTACAGCGGAAAAACCAGCGTCTCCACTTTAACTTTTCGACCCTCCGCCGACTTTCAAATATCACAATTCGGAGCTGTCGACACTTTTTTTCGGCGACTCGAAAAGACGCCGGGGATAGCCACCAATTGGTCCAATTGCAATACCGGCCAAATATTCTTCTACTTTACGGAAGAGGGGAGGAATCTATATAGCAGAATGAGCCGGTCACTACTGCGCTCCGTCCTGGAGCTTCGCACGCCGATAACACGCCTCCCACCAACCTTCCTCCTCCCGATCCAGGCCCGCACCCTCGCGACGACAGCAGCAAGACGCAATGTCGAACCAACCACGCCTCCCAGCGCAACACCCACACAAACCGCCGTGCCCCCCATAGCGCCCCCCAAGCCATCCTCCACCCCCTCAGCGTCTCCCTCCCAGTCCCAAACCCACCCCCCCGCGGGAACGACATCGAGCTCCGTAGCAGAGCTCTTCCCGCTGCTGCGCGCGCAGCCCGCGCACTACATCACCATCCACATCCACGGGAAGCCATACCTAGTCACGGAGGGCGACCGCATCCGTCTGCCTTTCCTGATGCACGAGGTCCTGCCGGGCGACGTGCTGCGTCTGGACCGGGCATCGACACTCGGATCCCGGGATTACACGCTTGTCGGCAGCCCGCACATCGACCCCTCGCTGTTCGAGTGCCGCGCCACTGTTCTCGGCGTCGAGTCCGAGCCCCTGCGCGTCAAGGTCAAGACTAAGCGCCGGAACCGCCGCTCTCGCCGCGTCGCGAGTAAGCATCGGTATACCATCTTGAGGATTAGCGAGCTTAAGCTGCTTGGGCCTTCTTAAGGGTGTCTGTGGTGATGTGAGTGAGTGGTGGGCTTTACGCTAGGACTTCCTACTTTTTGGGGAGGGTTTTGCTGGGTTGGACGGGGGTGAAAATAACGGGAAGAATCGGTTGTCCGTTCTGCTACCTATGTGACTGCAATTCTCGCCAGAGAATATGACCGTGGAGAGAGTACTATAGGTACAAGTCAGTCGGTGATAGATATCATGTATGTAACACTTATAAAATGGGCTTGCAAAATATCCGACAAGATCCATGTATAAAACATGAATTCAAACATCAGAAAAAGCAATATACTCCTAACTCCCAAGATTGACGCACGCATAAGATATTGAAATATGTCCACTTGAACCATATGTTCAGTTATCAGAAAGTGCCATCCATTCCAGCACCAGTAATACACCTCACAGAAAGACTAAAAGCAATAGAAGCAAACGTTAAAAAGTGATCAAGTTTGATTTTTCATTAAAAAGTAAAGTTTCACGGAAAGCGTAAAAACAACCACAAACGTATCGCTAAAAATCAACCACAGCTCCAACAAACCGTGTCTAACGATGAAGCATCATCCCATGCCTATCCTGAACTCCGTGGCTAATGCGGCATAAGCGTGAGCAGAACATCAGGGATATCTCTCGATGGAGGCGATACCTCGCCCCAACGACTTCTTGAATGGTAAAAAGAAAAGGGGAATTCAAACAACGGGATTATAGTATCCCAAAAACAATTATCCATCCACACGAGCCCATATACAAACAGGCTACCATCCCCTCTTATTCAACCGTAATTTTTCAGTTCTTCAGTCATAAGTCATGTTTTATTATTAGCTTTCCAATCCCGTCCCGTCCTGTCACCTTGTGTCTTCGGGAGCGGCTCTCGAAGCCACCTCTCTACCAACAGCTTTAGCGACGCTGCCCCAATAAGCCTGAGGCCAGACGCTTAGTGCCTCGGCCTCGGTTGGCATCCTCTCGCGACACCGGGTAACAACGCTCTGAATAATTCGTCCCAGCAACTCTTCGGTGATAGGTAGCGTCCCTGCCGGCGCTTCAACGGGGTAAAGGAATGGGTCCGTCCTAGACAGCAATTCTTCACAGGTGGGACGTAGATGCTGATCGCGGCTAAGACAGCGCTTCATGGTTCGCAGGAGGCTAGGGGGGACAGGTGCTCCGCCAACGCCCTTGTCGCGGAACTCGATATCGTACTGCCAATTGATGATGGCATGGCAACGCGCCATCTGGTTAGGGATATGACCGAAAGGCGGTGTGCCATATACCATCTGGAACAGTATGCAGCCCAAGCTCCAGATATCGCTTGGTTTCCCCAGCTTCATAAGCTTGGGACGCGGCGCGTTACCGATGGAGGTAATGCGGTGGCCAGCGGAATCGGTGGTATTAGAGTCGAGAAGACTCTCCGGACTCATATAGTTGGGAGTGCCGACCTGAGTCTCACGGTGCACATTGACGGTCTCGTCGGTCTGAATAGCGTTGGCAATGCCAAAGTCGATTAGCTTCAATCGGCCTTGAACCACCACGAAGTTGGCAGGTTTCAGATCCGAGTGCACGATATCATGGACGTGTACCGCCGCCAAACATTCGAGCATCTCCTGCCAGTAGTAACGCACGAAGACGGGATCAAATTTGGCGTTCTCGGGCGACAGCCGGAGGCGTAGGAGCGTGTTAAGATCCAACTCGCCCATTTCCATAAGCTATTTTTTTTATAATAACCCGGTTAGCCCAGTCACACCTGACCTCTCAAGAGGCGATAGGGGCACCATTTAAAACTCACCAGGCTGAGGACCTGTTTCTCTTCGTTCATCTCGTAATCGTATAGAGTGACAACACGCTCGACGTTATTTAGCTTCTTCAAGAGGTCGATTTCGCCTTTGTAGCCTCGGACGGTATTCTCGTCTGCACCCTCGATAGAGACACGCTTCAACGCAAACATCTTCCCGTTGTCGGCTGCAACTCGGTATACCTTTCCGCTACCTCCACGGCCGAGGGAGTCGAGCCTCGTGTAGCATTTTCCGTTGACTTTCATGTAATTTCGTCGCTTCGCCGCTTGTACCGTGGTTGCTGCTCCAGCTGCAGAGGTAGCAGCGTCCAGGATCGACATCTTGGGTGGAGGCGCCGGTGCTGCCCTACGAGGTGTGTTCTGGCTCAGCGAGCTTAATGCCTTGCGGTCCGGTGAGATAAGTCGTGCGGAACCCACCTCGGCAGCACTCGAAGGACGGGCTGAATTCTTAGGCACATCTTTCTCCAGAAAGCTTCCTACAGGTGGTTTGTTCCTCTTGAAGGTCGGCGGGGCCTCATTCTCTTGATCTTGTCTCGCCGGCATTTCGGATCGAGGGGGCGGAACCCGATACTGTGGGATTGGAATTTCGTCGTGTTCAGGTGAAGTCTGTCGTGACCGTGAGACGTGTCCATTTTCCGCCGCAGTAGACAGTTCCCTTCTCTGGGCCGCCCTTGCAGATCCCCTAGAGCTAACAGGACTCCCCATGGCGAGACGGTCGGGCACGTAATACGAGGACGCAAGGTTATCTAGCGGATCGTAGTCCTCGGGATCCCGAGCATGAGGCGCATCGGATTCCTGACCGGATCGGAGAGGTTCTCTTCCATTCTCGGCGTCCTCTTCACTTTGTCTTCTTCGTCCTCGGCGTGCTGGGCCGCTGAGAAAGCTGCCGGGAACCTTTCCTACTCTCTTAACACGCATTGAGCTCTGCACTGCTTGATTCTCGTCGTTGCGATTCCTAGATCCGTTAGAACCTAACCTAGAGGCGCTTCCCGGATTAGAAGACCCCTGTTGCCGGGGAACAGTCTGAGGAGCATCGGGAAGGTCAGTTTCGTCAGATGGTACGCCGTGAGAATGAAACGACGAAGCCAAGTCAGTTGGCCTAGAAGACATCGCCGACGAAGCCGACGAGCGACCCCTATTGCCCGACGATCCGACGGCGATTCTGACCACGCGCCCTTGCTGGGCCGGCGTATTTAAGTCCTTCTCCTTGATCAGCGAACCATTGGCCTTCTCGTCCGCGACACTATCAGCTCGACTTGGAGGGCGGTTCCTGCTTTGCGAAGCGGAGAACGACGTTGACGTCGACGTTGACGTTGACCTCCTCTTTGCGGGAGCTTTAGGCTGCGAGGCAGCAGCAGATGTTGCAGACGCGGCACTTAACCGGACGACGCGCTTCCTGACAGGGCTACTTTCTCTACTAGCCTGACTTTTGACAGGTGAAGTTGGTCTTGATGGCAACTGAGTGCTGCTGGCACGAGTATGCCTTCTCTCTTCGCCGATTAAAGCCGCCGATGCACCAAGTACGCTGCGCCTCTTGGCAGGTTTCTCCTGCTCTGCGTAGACGGGCGACGAAGGGCGGTGGGCTTGAGCTCGAGTTCTAACGCGTCCATGGTCTCGTTCTTGTTCAGCTCCTTCATCGTTGAGAAGAGCTTTGGTAAGAGCGCTGAGCTTCATAGGCACAGGGATCTCGTCATCTGAACTATCATTGCTCGCGTATTGCGACTTGGAGACGTGAACGACATGGACTGGAGCTGGAATATTGGATTCGGCACGGCCGATCTGCGATCTAGAGGGAGCTCTCCTCAACCCTGATCTTAGCGACGACTTTCTCGTTACAGCGCCCGGATGATGACTGAACGCTCCGGGTGTCGGCGATGCGGAGGTCATTATGGTGTAAGCTATAATTATATGGAATTTAAAAACAAAGCAAGCGGGTTATAGCGCGTCGAATTGGCGAATTGGGCTATCTTATTGTCGATTTAATGGATATTCTACGTGTCAAAGCAGATGATGGTCCAAAACATTATAGTTTAGTAGTCAGGTCGAGCGGATGGGGCGCGGTAATGCAGAAGTAATTGGCGCGGTCTTGCTGGTTGAAAGACGTCTGAATTGTTCCTGGCTTCCCCTGCTTCGATTGGCTTGGCGTCTTTTTCGTTTTTTTTACTCGTTGCTAGGAGCAACGCCCACATTCCCTTTTTGGTAGCCAATTACGTGTCGTTCGCTAATTCTACTACCGATACTAGCTCGCTTATGCGATCCACAAATATGGACATTGCATAACATGCGCTGGATAAACAGCCCCTCCATAATCGACTCGTAATTTTAGATGATGTTGTTTGTAAGTGAAAGCGATGAGGCTGATTTAGAATGTTTATCAACTGGTAACATCAGGCGATGTACCTAACTTAACCTAACTTATTCATCACGCTAACCAAACCTTCCATACCATCGTCCATACCCTAATTAGCCTTGCATGCTAGGTCAAAACGATAGGTAGATTCAAGTTATGATGATGCAGATTTAGAGTTCACAAGTACATTCACATTCACATAGGCAAATCAAAATTTAAAAGACTCAAAACTCGGAGAAGCAGCACTGTATTTTTCCTTAACCGTCTCTAAATGCCTTAGTTGATCAAACGCAGACCCTTCCACGCCGAATACCATGCAAGACCACTGCCCATTTCCGTGCCACCTCCCCGAAAACGCATGACTTCGTTGTCGCAACCATGTACGATATCCGCTTAGTCGAACAGACCGAAGCCCATGTCCTCGTCGGACTCTTCCTTCTCTAAAGCCGTTTGTCAGTATATAGAACCAGATAAAATCGTAGTAGGCCGTGAACGTACCCTCTTCCTTCTCTTCGGCCTTCTCCTCGGCGGCGGCAGCACCACCGGCAGCGGCAGCGCCACCAGAGGCAGCACCGCCAGCACCGCCAGAGGGAACGGAGGCAAGCTTGCTGGAACCCTCGGAGATCAACTATGATATCGTGTCAGCTCAAATTTACATTCTTCTTGCGTTTGTGATTTCGAATAATCGTACCTCGTTGATGTCCTTGCCCTCTAGCTCGGAGAGGAGCTTCTCTAGGCGCTCGCTGTCGGCCTCGATACCGACGGACTCGAGGACTTCCTTAACGTCGGAAGCAGAAGGCGAGGTGTTGCCACCAAGGCCGAGGAGGAGGTAAGCTGCGAGGTGCTTCATTTTTTCTGATTTGTTCTGCGCGCAACCCTTTGTTAGCACAGGTCCTTTTCTTATGCGAATTGATTTTTGCGATGAGGGGTGACCGCGGGGTGAGCGAGTACGGTAATTCGGCGACGTTAAATATTTCGACAATGATATGCGAATGTTTCAAGAGAATAGACTTACGAGAGATGAGAAGAACACGAGAAATCAATCGATTTAACCGCGATTTTGGGCGGAGACTGAGCCTTCGAGTTCTGTGGGAAGTTCGGTGTTAAGAGGTTGAAGATTTGAGAATTGATGACTCTGTTCGGCCAGAAAAGTTTCCTTGGATTTTCGGTGCGTTTGGATTTGACTGTGGGCAAAGTGGAGAGTGGATACTCGCCTATCACCTGATTAGGGTCGTCTTAGATACCTTTTCTTCAACCCTCCAATCAAAGCTCGTATTCTTACTCCATAATCCATGTGGCTTGACTCTCAAATTTACCCCCACTCGGACATCTCTAATGGCGAATTACAGTCGTTAATATGACGTAGCTCAGCCACACTTCCGGTTGCTGGAGTACCTGCTGCGGTACCATGTACCTATGAACAGGCTCAGGAAGTATTTCGTACTTGGGACGTCTTGTTAGGAGCGGGAAGGGCACGAGACTTTCTTTTTGTCCAAACGCCTTCTTATCATCACTTCTACATAACAATTAACGACCCCCCAGATACCCGCATTCTTTGTTGCTCGATCAGCCGACGCATTCGTTTTCTTGCATAAGTCGCATGTGATACCATTTTTCAATTACAGATTTGTTATCGCTGGTCAATCTGGCCATATTTTACCATCTTTTTGAGGTCGCATCGGGGTCTTGGGAAAAGAGTCATCGCACATGCCACAGCCCGCCGACTTATGACGCCTCAGGCACACTATAAGCTCCTGGCGGCAATCAGGATACCCTTCAGAGATTCTCCCCCGTCATCCAACAGACGTCGAGTCTTATCATAATGCCGGTACGTGTCATTTTTTCGACTTCTCTTCTATCGTGCTTACCTCGATTCTAACATATTGCGCATGAAGATCGGTGACCTCCTCGCCGAGATCTCTGGCGGGAATCCATCCTCCGAGCCACGGCCCAAGACACCAATATCGACCGCGGTGAAGCGCAAAGCCGATGACGACTCGCATAGCACAACGTCGAACAAATATCCCAAGTCGCGACAACAGGACGGAACTTACTCGACAAGTAAGACAACCCGCGATATAAAGACGGATCCTGTCGATCGACCGAAGCCTACCACCGCGTCGGCAGCCGTTAAATCTTCGTCTCTACCTCACCGTACGAACTCGCCGTCCATAAATGGCCGCTACCAGCCTCCGGTACCAAGTGTGCAACGTACAGGCGTCTCATCTTCGAACGGCAGGCCGGGATTCGGACCGGGATCCAACATATCCCAGCCGAGGAAGTCAACAGATCAGATTGTTAGTCGGCCAAAACTTAGTGCATCTTCACTAGCAGCTGCTTCCAAAGCGCCTCCTGCAAAATCGTCACCCACGACTCCGACCACTTCAGACCCGTCCAAGGCGCCAAAGAAGGGTTCGTATCAGGAAATAATGGAGCGTGCTAAAAAGGCTCAAGCGTCGATGGGTAAAGTCGGTATGATTCAGCACAAGTCCATCGGAACCGCCAAGAAAGAGCAGCCCGCGAAGGCGGAACAGAAGCCAAACGGTGCCAAAGGGAGAGATGGAAAGCCGTATCTTGGGAATAGTCGGTCATCCACTGCACCTCCTCGTGGGGGAGCGAGACCTGGAACGGCAATCCGTGATGCAGGTCGGAATGGAGCCGGGAAGGACGCTAAAGCAAGCGGCAAGTCAAGGCCTAACTCAGCTAGCGGGGAAGCCCTGGAAAAGAAAATGAAGAAGTCAGCGACAGCTACTACAGGTTATACTGGAACCGCTCGCCCCCGACCTGGCGCGGCATCGGAGAAACCATTAGCATCCAGGAAAAGCAGCTCCTCAGCTTACAAAACCGGCGGGCTTCTTGCACCCCCAAGGCCAAGCCGCCGGGATGAATACGAAGATGAATATGATGAGGAATTGGACGATTTCATCGAGTACGACGAAGATGACGAGCCCGACTACCGAGGCGAGAGGTATGGCGGATATGATTCGGATGCCTCTAGCGATATGGAGGCGGGCCTTTCGGATATCGCCGTAGAGGAGCGAAGAGCTGAACTGCTAGGTCGCGAAGAGGACAAACGAGAGCAAGCCCTCGAGGAGAAACTCAAGCGGGAGAAGGAGCAACGAAAACGACGACTCGGCACAGGCCGTTAAGATATTACTTTAATACTAATCTGCCCACGAACGACAGAGTTCAGCGCAGATATTCGCGGGATAGCGGCTTCTTCGTACTTTACTTCGTTCACGCTTATTTTAAAAAGACATGGTTCACGTAGATGGAAATTGCATGGAAGACGGCGTTCTATGATATTTCCATGCGTCCAAGGCAGACCTTGGTGAGCAATGGCGTTCTTCGTTCTTCGTTCTTCGTTCTTCATACATACCCCGTGTCAGGGTCGTCGACAGGATAATGCAACGGCTTGATCATATCGGCGTAGTGTAGCCTTAGATGTCTTTTTGACAATATTACAGTACTGTACATCTTTAGGGACTAAATGATAGTTGGTAGTTACTAATACGCGCTTTGCTTCTTCTTTTCGGGGTGATAACTTGACACACGTAGCCCCTTTATCTAGATATCTTAGTCTTAGAGGTAGATCTTTTTATATCTTGTTTGATCATGTGTTGTATAAATTGTAATTACCTAAGGTAACTTAAGGTACCTTAGGTAGGTAGTAGGTACTGTATCGTGAGATCGAGGAGGCGAATAATTTGGAATCGTTGCGGCAAAAGAAAACATCGTATAGATATCTTCCCTTGAATAAACACTTGTCATTCATAATACCCCTTCTTGACTTTCAACCTAGAGGGTATGCCTATTCCCTTCTATCTTTGTATATGATAAAATACCTTTCTCGACTCTAAAATTTGGTATCGAACACGAAGACTAATCGTTTGTTTTGTTAAGATGCATGGCTCCGACTCCCCCCCCCCTATGTAGAGCTACCTTATAAATAGCTTTCAGCATTGTATCCTTCAACTTAGATATTTACCTAGATAATTAGTTGCTTGAGTATTAGGTATATTACACATGTCTCTTCGTAAATCCTATTTTGAACTAAAAATTATATAGTCAATAGCGGAAATGACCTATCAGGGCATTGTGTTGCATAGAGTGAGAGGTAGGGGTCTAGATACTAGTATAGTGGTGCAGGGGGAAGGGCATGACCTCCTTATACACACCGAGTATCTAGCGGCTACTCTATGGGGTGCCCCTATTATATCCCGACGTAATCGCACATATAATGAGACGTCTAGAACAAAGGACACTGTCAGTATGTGTCAGGGTATAAGTAGGTAGGGGTAGCTAACAGGGGTCTATCTACTATATAAGAGGCGCGCAGCGCCCTCGTAAGAGGATAGAAGGCAAGGCGTTACAAGATCAATGCTACCTATTACTTGGTCTACCTATCCTAGACACTCACTCTGTGTATGACATCAATCAATGAGTATCAATCCTGACAGTATGTATAGCCGTAGGCTCCCGTGGCTAGCTTAGAGTTCCTCGCGGAACGAAGTTGTTTCCTAAATTGCTAAACCAATATCATACACCATGTATCAAGGGGAAATACCTTGGCTAAAATTAGTTTATATAGGTACCTACCTAGGTAGTTAATATTAAATAAATCAGTCTTTCAAAAACCCCATAACTAGATTCTTAATTCAAGCGTCCCAAAACCTTCCAGCATCTAAATAGGTAGTATAGAACACGTAGCATGAATGTGCCTGCTGGCATATCATAGCAGCGCGCAGATTTCTGCTTTAAAGGGTACAATGGAACACGTCCCCCCCCCCCCCCCCCCCTATTCGATAAGGCACTATTGCAAGTATTACGAGTGTGGCAGATGTGTCCTTGGTTTGTTTTCTAAAACTGACAGAACAATACTAGGTCTTAGGATCTACCGTAACTTCCCGAATCAAGTCATATGAGTTGTACCAAATTCATATTCATCTATTTGTCCTGGTAAGATCGTCGCTAATATTGCTTCTCGATCTCAGCTGCCAAGAATACATAGTCGACCTTGAACGTGTAAATGTGTCAGTTAAGGACGTGATAGCCCAGGAAGCTAAAAGCCTAGAATAGTGCTTTGGAGTATCATATAACCCTCGATTATGGTTTAGATGATTGGATGGCTACCTGTCTGAATTCAATTTTGTTTTCTGCGTGGCTACCTAAGCGGACAGCTGTTCAGATGAATGGGTAGGCCGAGTTTTCAGCCGCTTCGAAATATGTATGTCTATACGAAGATCTGACTCGTCATTTCAATAATAGCTCAGCTTAGGACATCAGCCTGCGCTTCGGGCAGCAAAGCAGAGCCTCATATCGGGTTTAAAACAAGGCTCGGGTGAATTTAATTTAACTAACTAGTTAATATAAATGTTCGTCTTTACTATGCCCCTTTTCTACTATCTGTCATTAACATCACTACCTTCACCTTCACTATCTCTTAACAATAATGTTCTTCAACATAGTTGCAGACTCCGTCGAAGACAACGCCGATTTAGCCGCTCAGGCAGTCGGCGTCGCTCATCGTACCCAAAATGGGGTTCTTAATGCTACTGGCATCAACGGTGGCTCGAGCAAACATCCTCAGGATAAAGGGGTAAACCTAAAAGCTGTAGCGAAGGTAATATTTGAACCAAGAAACTGACAGATAGACTGGAACCAGGGGATGAAGCCAGATGACAGGCCAGGTGCTGGGCCAAGCAATACTGACAAGCCTCTGGGCCCCTATGTTGACCTCCGAAGTGGCTGTCCAGAGGTATATAATCAGGGGCATATGATGAGTTGTACCGCTCATGCTGTCGCTGCCGCATTTGAATTTGATGTCATAAAACAAGGTCTACCCGATTTTTCACCTTCCAGACTTTTCATTTGGTACAACGCTCGTGCTAAAGGTAATCCCGGAGACACTGGGAAAGACGTTGGTAGCAATCTAAGGGATGCTATAAAGTCTCTTGGCATGAAATAACATGGCGTCTGCTCCGAAGATGATTGGTCCTACGAAGTTAGCGAAAGCGATAAGAAGACGCATAAATTCCCCCCTGGTGCTAAGGCGGCAACGAAGCCGCCTATTCGCAGAGAGCATGCCCACCAGCACACCGCACCATCCTACAAAACATTCGAGAAGGCCACTGTGAAGGTGCTCAAAGATTGCCTTAATGAGGGATATCCTTTCGTCTTCGGAATGAAAACCTACGGTCTACTGATACTCCATGGAAACAATATTGGTCCAGATGGATATGGGCTCAGTACGTTATAACCCAAAACCTGCCTCCGCTGTTCACTAATATATGATTTTGCTTCGCAGAAAAGGGCCCAGACAGCAAGGACATGAAGGAAGAGCATAGACATTCACTCCTAGCGGTCAGTTACAAGGAGGATGAGGAAGTGTTCATCATTCGCAACTCATGGGGGGCCGACTGGGGCGAGGATGGCTACTTCTATATGCCATACCACTGGTTGAAGCATTGCTATGATTTCTGGACTATCCGCCTTGTGAAGTATAATCCCGAGAAATATTGACAAGGGGTGGAAGGAGACATACATTGGAACTAAAGAATAATGGCTACATTATATGTAACCGTATTTACGCCTAAATAGATTAACAGGCTAGGTAATAGGTCCCACGCAACAACATTATTGCTTGATCCAATTTTTTTTTATTTGCATCCGTATCATAATACGAGGGTCTTGCTAGATTCCAGCACTTCTACCTTTCTTACTCTTCTTAATCCGAGAGATATTCATAATATTTAAGGCCCAGGTAGAAGTATCCGAAAACTAGATTATGTCGAAACTCATTAAATTTGCATCTTTGTTGGCTAGGATGTATCCTGAAGCCTGTGGCTTAAAAATGACTATAGCGTAGGTTGTTGGTAGTATATAAAGGGGGGGAAATAGACGTCGTACACCATTCGCAAGTATCCTGGCTAAAAGTATTACGTATGCGTGGAAACAAACAGACTGCATCGTCATTAACTGAGAGGACGATCCACATATTAGCTAACTTCTGTTACCCCTGCAGATAATAGCCCCATTTGGGGTACCTACCTAAGGTATTGGGGATGCATCTTTAAAGAACGACTCGTATTTTAGTAACCTATCGATAGTGTAACAAACCTTGTATTGATTGTTAAGGACAAGTGGTTGAACTACGCGCAAAGTGTACCTGACTATTAGATTAGCGCTAATTGGACTAGCAAAGGATACAGCAATATAAGGCTTAGTTTAGTTTAATCATTCCTTTTTTGGGGGTCCTTCCGTTCTGTAGTCCTCTAAGCCTACCTGAGCCAATGGGTCGGAAAGAGGCTGAGCTTTCGTTACAGCCAGCTAGGAGACCTCAACTCTTTTGATGCAGGTCAGCAGCGAAATGCGGAAACTTGTAAACCGTCGGCTTGGAGCCTTCCTGTCCCATGTCTTTTCATTTTATATTTTCATGTTTTAAATCTTTACTGCAACAACCTCCTACAGCAGCGAATTTTATAAGAAGTTGAAGTTTGTAGGGAGGATTGCAAATTACCTAAATAAACTTGATAGAAAAACGTGCAACATTTTACGTCTATCAATTGCATGTCCTTCTTTTCTTCTTCTAATTCGCAACCCGCAACCCGCAACCCTCACTCTGCGACCCACGCGTCCTGATTTAATGTGTTTCATACACTCTTTTCCACGTCTCTCATTCGAATCCGACTTCACACCTTTTTAACGGTCTTGGCATAACCCCGGATTTGTCTCGATACACTATTCGAAACGAACTGCCTATTCCTATGTGATGCTATTTGATATCGTCGGAGTAATCGTCTTGCCAGTGCGCTTACTTGCGTATTGCGCCCCGGCGTCTACGTCTCTTCTTTCTCTCATATATATCTCTAATTGAGTGTCATCTGGATGACACTAAATCACCATGACTAGATCTAGCAATTCGCCTCGAGACTCGCAACAGAATCCTTCCACATCTTCGTCCCAATCCATCCCCTTACAAGATCTTGCGAGACAGCAACGCCAACATGATAGCCAGTCGCAAGGCGGGGCCCAGAGGGGATCTGCGAATCGCAATCTAGGCGTCTCGACATATTGGGATGGTTACCAACAGCATCACCACAGCGTCGACTTGGGCCCGAGTCCTGCTGCTTCACCGATAGACCCTACTGCTCTGCAGTTCGCTTTACCTCCGGGGATCGATCCCTCGCCTCCAGCGCCGCCTCGAGCTACCTTGACATCTGCTCAACATTATGCCCCCGAAACCCCCTACTACGACGAGACGACTCATGTCGACTACTTTGAATCGGATAGTTCGCCCTTGACGTCTGCTGCGCAGCCGATCGCTGGTGCTTTGCCTACCCCACAAGTCGAGTCGCAACCGAGAGATAGCTTCCAGACGGTGTCGGATATAGACAGCTCCCATCCGCGTGGACGATCTGCTCAGATGCTTGGATTTGATTTGGAGAACTCATTTGCGTCGACCAAGCACCGCAGCTATGGCAATTCTCTCACGCCAAATGACAATCGGACTTCGCGGATGCCAAGCACGGCTGATGCCTTGTATAGAGCTGGGTCGATTGTTAGGGCCATGTCTCAGCGTGTTGTTAATATCAGTAATGAAGGGGAAACTTTCGAGCAGCAGCAAAGACGGCAGAGATCAAGATCAAGATCACCGAGTGCAGATGGCCGGGCATCGCCCAGTCATCTTTCCACCGAGTTAGCCATTGACACGTCATACCCTTCTCAAGTCTACACGAACACAGAGAAGAATGGCGATCCCGGATGGACTATGTCGGGAGCCCCCTTGTCCCCTCGGCGTGGAGCGCCAATGCCGAACCCTTTGAAAGGTCGTTCGCTCGGTATATTCGGACCCGACAATATCATCAGAAGGAAACTCTGCGATGTACTCGTGAATCCATATATGGAACCCATCCTACTTCTACTAATTGTACTTCAAGCTGTCTTGCTCGCTGTCGAGGCCGCAAACAATGTATATATTCCCGGAAATGAACGCCCCAAGCTCTGGGATCCCTCTTCAGGAATAAATTGGGCTCTTCTCATCCTCTTCATAATATTCACCCTCGAGACAATGGCTCGGATCATCGTATCTGGTTTTATATTAAACGCTGCAGAATACAGCACCATTGACCGAAAGAAAGGAATCCGTGTAGCTATATCGGATCAGTATAATGCGGTTTTTCGGCCACAACGTCAGAAGTCGGTGAAAACTCCTCGCGAGCAGTCTTACGGGCCTTCTACATTTGCTCGATCCTTCACTATGATGCATAGTAGTGTGCCTGAGACAATCGAGGAACAGCAGAGGATGCAGTTAGCTCGCCGAGCTTTCTTGAGGCATGGTTTCAATAGGTTGGATTTTATTGCGGTAGTGTCCTTCTGGATAGCCTTCGTCCTCAGCATAACAGGCATTGAAATGGAAAAGCATTTATTCATCTTTCGCATGCTCAGCTGTCTTCGAATTGTTCGACTCCTTGCCCTTACGAACGGAACAGCGGTAAGTTACCTATATATAGAGAAATTCTAAGAAGCATCATTCTAATTTACTCGCTAGATTATATTACGAAGTTTAAAGAAGGCAGCACCACTTCTACTTCGGGTTTCCTTCCTTATCGGCTTTTTCTGGCTCTTATTTGCCATCATCGGCGTGCAAAGCTTTAAAGCAAGTCTAAGCCGGCAATGTGTTTGGCTGGATCCCTCACAACCCGATAACATGACCCTAGCGTATACAAATGATATGCAATTCTGTGGCGGGTATCTTGATAAAGATGGTACAGAAAAACCCTGGGTTAAAAGCTCGACCCCGGGTACTTTGTTGGACCTCCAACCTCAATATCCAAAGCCTAAGGGATACATTTGCCCCAGGAACTCTATATGTCTTGAACAGTCAAGCCCATTTAACAATACTCTCAGTTTCAACAATATTCATCATTCCCTGGAGTTGGTTTTTGTGATCATGAGTGCCAATACATGGTCCGACCTCATGTACTACACCACATATTCCGAGTTCCTCCCGGCAGCCCTATTTTTCGGTGCTGGCATTATGATAATGATGTTATGGTTGACCAATTTGCTCATTGCTGTCATCACCTCATCGTTCCAGGTTATCCGAGAAGAAAGCAAGGCCAGTGCTTTCACAGCGGATGAAGACTTTCAAATTTCCGATCCCCAGGAAGAATTACGTAGGATTTCGACATTTGAGAAGATATATAATAAGACACGACTCTTTTGGGTGTTCCTTATCGCGGAAGAACTCTTTGTTCAGGGTTGGCGCAGCTCAGATATGGGACCTACGCGAGCAAATTTTATCAAAGCAAACAGCATCCTAGTGACAGCCCTCCTGGACATCGAAATAATCATTAGAATCGCAGCTAACTGGAGAGCCTTCCATCGAAGCTACCAAAACCTATTCGACCTCTTCCTAGCGTTCGCAAATACGATAATAATCATCCCCCCTATCTTGGAAAGTGGTCAAACGTACATGTGGCTCACGATATTCCAGATCCTACGGTCCTACCGTGTAGTTATGGCATTGCCGCTCACGAGAAAATTGATTGTATTAGTCCTCGGAAATGCTACAGGTATTGCAAACCTCATCGTCTTCGTGTTCTTAATCACATTTATCATGGCAATTTTCGCGGTCCAACTTTTTCGGGGGGAGATCCCCTTATATGACGACGGCGGTGAGCTGGTTAGAATATCGTTCTACAATATTTTCAATTCATTCCTCGGCATGTACCAAATCCTATCCAGTGAGAACTGGACGAACATCCTTTACGATGTGACAGCGTACACCACTGAGTACAGTACGTCCTGGTATGGCGCAATGTTCCTTATCGGCTGGTTCATTCTCGCATTCTTCATTATTGTTAATATGTTCATTGCTGTCATTCAAGAGAATTTTGATGTGTCAGAAGATGAGAAGCGGCTGGAGCAAGTTAAGGCGTTCTTGCAGCGCAAGGAATTGGGTAGCAACGCGACTACTAATATTACCCTCTCGGATATTTTCTCCTTTGGGAAAGCCAAGCAAAGAGATCCGTTAGATTACGGACCGGCGACGATGGAAATGTTATTGAAAGACGCCGTCGTTCGAGAATTCCTTGACGATTCGATGGACCCATTAAACCAGGAATCCAGCAATACCTCCTCTCCCCAAGAGGGAGCGACCGGCGACGGTATTCGGCCTGGCTTTATGTCGTCCGTTTGGGGCCGAATCCGAGGTATACTCACTAGCAAGGAGCCGAATCCGTTCTATTCTAACATCCGGTTCAATCTACCTAATGACGCCCTCGACCCGCGGCAGATGGCTCGTCAAGCTGTGTCTGCCACTACGGAACGCCGCAAAGCTCAACGCGAATATCTTGCCCGTCATCCTACGTATAACAATTCTCTCTTTATTTTCACCCCCAAAAACCCTATTCGCCGTCTTTGTCAACGACTCGTCGGGCCGGGAAGAGGCAACGAGCGCTTTGATGGTGTGGAGCCGAATAAATACGCCTGGTATGGGTTTACAGTGTTCATCTACGCAGCCATCATCGCCATGGTGTTGCTAGCCTGTATTACCACGCCATTGTATCAGAAAGAATACCTCCGAGAGCATGTGGGGGAAAACCGGTATAAAAGTTGGTTTGTTTGGGTCGACCTGGGCTTCGCGATAGTTTTCTCGGTTGAGGCGGTAATCAAAATCATTGCGGATGGTTGGTTCTTCACGCCTAATGCCTACTATAGGAGTTCGTGGGGTATTATAGACGGCATGGTCCTTATCACATTATGGATCAATGTGCTTACCCTCTTGTTTCACGACGGGGACGTCTCTAGAGTCATCGGTGCTTTTAAAGCGCTACGCGCTCTCCGCCTACTCAACATTAGCAACAGTGCAAGAGATACCTTTCATTCCCTAATAATAGTGGCCGGATGGAAGATTATTAGTGTAGGTCAAATTCTGTACTATTGGTACCCTAAAGGGCTATGCTGACTTGACATTCTAGGCTGCGCTGGTCTCCTTGTCTCTACTAATCCCATTTGCCATATATGCCTTGAATTTGTTCAATGGACAACTGTTGGAGTGTAATGACAACGATGACATTACTCACCTATCTGATTGCTTCGGTGAATTTAATAGCACGCCGTCTAACCCAGCCTGGCCAATACTCGCACCTCGTGTTGCTGACAATCCCTATTTCAAATTTGACGACTTCGCCTCCTCGCTATTTATTCTCTTTCAGATTGTCTCGCAAGAGGGTTGGGTCGACGTATCATTCGCGACACAAGCAATTACCGGTCGTGACCTTCAACCACAGCCAATGGCAGCGCAGGGTTATGGGATGTTCTTTGTGGTTTTCAATCTTCTTGGTACAGTCTTCGTGTTGACTCTATTCATTTCTGTCTTCATGCGAAATTACACTGAGCAGACCGGCGTCGCATTCTTAACGGCCGAGCAGAGAACATGGCTCGAGCTACGAAAGCTTCTACGTCAGATCTCGCCGTCAAGAAGCTCTTACAACGAGTCCGAGAAGAAATGGAAAAAATGGTGTCACAAGCGAGCAATCGAGAAGCGAGGCAAGTGGTATACTGCGATTACCGCGATGTTAGTCCTTCACTTGATCTTGTTGATGTTGGAGTATTATCCTGAACCGGAGCAGTGGTCTATTGCGAGGGATGTCATATTCCTGCTCTTCACACTGATCTACATCGCTAATATCGCGATCCGCGTTGTCGGCCTCGGCTGGAAGCGGTTTAGGAGGAGCACTTGGGACGTCTACTCGCTGATCTCTGTATTCGGTGCTTTTGTAACCTTTGTTCTACTAGTCGCCGACTATGAGAATCAAACCTTCACTCAGCTTCACAAATACTTCCTCGTCAGCATCGTCCTCCTTCTCATCCCTAGAAACGACGCACTCGATCAGCTCTTCAAGACAGCGGCGGCAAGTCTCACAACCATCTTCAATCTACTTGCCACATGGCTAGTATTCTTCTTGGTATTTGCAATAGCATTGACACAAACTTTCAGTCTGACTCGCTTTGGGGAGAACGAGGACGTCAACATCAATTTTAGGACAGTCCCCAACGCTCTTCTTCTACTCTTTCGCATGAGTGTAGGTGAAGGTTGGAACCAGATTATGGAAGACTATGCAAATATCGAACCTCCGCTCTGCGTGAACAGTGGCGAATTCCTTGATAGCGATTGCGGCAGCACTAATTGGGCCAGATGTCTATTCATCGCCTGGAACCTGGTCAGCATGTATATTTTTGTCAACCTCTTCATCTCGCTCATATACGAAAGTTTCAGTTATGTGTATCAGCGTTCGAGCGGCATGGCAAATATTGATCGAGATGAGATACGGAGGTTTAAGGAGGCGTGGCGCAGTGTTGACCCTGCTGGTTCAGGCTTCATCAGTAAAGAAGCATTTCCAAGGTTATTGGGAGAGCTCTCTGGCATCTTTGAAATGCGGATCTACGATTCAGAAGATTCGGTTCAGCAGATCTTAGAGGACGTTCGGAACGATAAGACACATATGAGGCATTCGTCGATCGCTACTACAAGTAACGCCAGTAGTGGACTAAATATTAAGAGGTTGAACGAGAGGCTCTCCAAGATCGACGTTCGGAAAGTGCAAGAAAGACGCCGCCGTTTCAACATCTTTTACGAGGAGGTGATGGTTTCCGCGGATCCTGTCCAAGGAATATCTTTCACGACGGTACTCATGATAATGGCGCACTATAAGATCATTAGTGACAGCAAGAGCTTAAGGTAACAAATACCCCTATCAGGACTTAACTAGCTCAGAACTGACAATATCTCAGACTCGAGGAATTCTTGCGTCGTCGTGCACGCCTTCAACGAGTTGAGGAAGAAGTTCGTCGAAGAATTGTCGTCGGTTTCTTTGACACGGTGTAAGTTTTCTACCAAGATGCCAGGCATCTCGTTTCACTAACCCATATGCTAGCTACTGGTCTCGCCAATTCAAGAAACACATGGAGAAGAAGAGATCTGCACGAATGACGGCGATTCCTCAATTAGACGTGCCCGACATCTTCGTCGACGATGAGGACGACCGTAAACGGACAGCGACGCAACGCACTACAATGGCAGCTCCAGTCGCTAGAGGTACATCCGATTTCCTTAGTGTATCCGACGCATCCCGGCCGCAGCACAAGAGCTGGACTTCCGGCACCGATATATCAACATACGACTCTTCGCAGACGCATCCCTTGAGCTTACCACGGGCAAGCCCGTCGATGCCGGGACATCGTTCCCACGCGTCTGCTTTAAGCTTTGAATTGCAGGACTCGGGGACGAATTCAGGCGAGAATAGCAGACGGGGTAGTTCAGTAAGCCCGGCCCAAGTCAGAGAGTTACTTGACGATTCCGCTTGGGTCGAAAGCATCAGGCGGAGCGCGACAATACGCAGGTCGGTACGGCGTTCCGATTGGAGCGGACCTCGGTGAGACGGCTCATTTATAGGATGACAACATTCACCACATTACGGGATAGCATTTACTAGAAGAGAGACATAGCGGCGGGTCAAGCTTCCCCGCAGATCTCGGAATGCATTTTCATACGTCGAGATTCGGGGTAGGTTTAAAGCGGCATATAAAGAGGCTCAAAACGAAGCAGCAATGACTTGGATGAGGTCAACAGGCGTTCTAGGCACTTTAGCGGGGTTTACATTGGACGGGATTATTCGTCTATGCCGTGAATCGGCGGATCTTGTTTTGCACTATATGTATTTGTCCATCGGTTGGTTGGATCCTAAATGTCCCGGATGCATTGTACAGGTGGAGATACCATTATCATATTGTATGTGTTTGACTACACTTGTATTTGTTAGAGTTCTAAGATCTAGAATAAAACTAGAGAAATAAAGCATCCGATATGAAGGCAAGGCTTGTTTGTTTGGGTGATAGGTTTTCTGCTTCGCCACAGTTTATCTCTGTACCGAATCTCCGCCAAGGACTGTTTTTCCTTCGAAGACAACATCTGGAACATGGACAGGCTCTTACTGCATGCACGCCTAGGCATGTAAGTGCGGGGATAAAAGTCTACGTCCGGCTAGACTTGCGTTCCTGAACGATGGCCTCCGAACCGATGGTGCGGCGGGGCAATGGCCTGCCAGTCCTGCCTGGCTGGTGATAGCAAATCTCCGGCAGAACCGGGCTATGAGTCTTTTCAGCTAGATGTTTCAATATTATATAAACTTGGATAATAAAAAGTATTAACGGGCAATTTATTATGGAAATTATTTAGTTGGGTTATGAACTTTTTATGGCGACCTGATATATTCCGTATGCATGTTAATAATGAGTGTAAGTCAAGCCACAGCATTGAATCTCCTCGGCCGCTTAAATGCCAAGCGTGATAAGCATGTGCCACTGTGCTACTGTGCCACATGCAGATGCAAATGCAGGTCCGTGTGCAGCCGCATATCGCGTCTTTCCCCTGCCAATTTCAACGACCTGGAACATGTTCAATACTGGAACACCATTCTTATTAATTCTCTCATCCGTCGTATTCTGATGCAGCTCATCCATACTCATAGTAGTATGTACGACTCTTAGTGTATCATCTTACGTATACCACAATAATTTCTCAAGTTAAGCCTTTAAATCCAATGTTGTAGTTTTATCGCCTTCAGGATTCCAGAACTCTTCTGTCTCACAACCACCATTAACTATAGGAAATCCATTCACTCGGTCAAGCTAGTTCATGATATGCATATTTCTCTCGGCTGCATCTATGATGAATTGATGTCTCTGATAGATTGACTATGTCATGCCTGTCATGAAACAACCTGAATCATCGACCAACCCATTTTCAGCAAACCCCTAATCCCGGCTGGCGATCATACGCCCCTGAGAAGAGGCGTCGTTACCCGTTTCGGACATAAGAAAGCAACGCACGCTCCACATCTACCTTGCCTAGCTGTTCCAGTTCAAACAATCCGGTGCGATACTCCATTGCTTCCGGCAGGGCTACGAGACAACGACATTGTTATCTTACGAAGCCACCCTAGAACAAGATGGGTAGCGAAGAAGACTTGTCTGTTTCACCACCACTTACACTACAATAGAGGCGAAAAAAAACCCCATTTTTCTCGCTCGGCCGCAAACAGGTAACTACACTAGTATCGTAGCTCATCGTGTCCTACCGTTCGTTACCTTTCTAGTATCGATCGTAGGCGTTGTGCTATCGCTTGTTACATGAGAGATGTCATAAATGCTGCTCCTGTACAAGTGTACAGCCACAAAAATACGTAAGTCCTTGTCGCATTAATAAAACAGGTAGACCTTGATGTTCAAACCCCTGAGCAGGAGATCTGATGTCCTTGTCATATCTCCCTGTTCCGTCAAACCCATGACCAAAGTGGATCAGATGTTTATCGACTCCTTACTATGCGCATTCCTCTCTACAGTATCTTGCACCGTCCCGTATCCAACCTCACAACCCTACAACCCGTGGTTTAAGGCTGGAGACTGGAGACTTGGTGTAGATCCTCCCGCGCTCCTACTACTTAACACTACGCCGGGCCGTATCTCATCTGTGTTCCTTCTTCCTCCAGACTCCTCTGTAGTGTCTGTTTCTTCCATCACTCCTCACCTAGGACCCAGTCGCCTGACAAGTATTGCTTGTTTGTTCTATTCACGAATCTCTCCGGAATAGATCGTCCTATCTTTTTTTTTTTAAACCAAAGCCAGCTTTGAACCCTTCGTTCACTTTTTGCATTCTTCCAAACTCACAGGCTGTGCCTCGTTTTTACGCACTTTTAATCGCCAAGCCAAGTCTTAAGGAATACCTGAGCCCACTGCAACCTATTCAAATCCCAGTTATCAAACTAGATCAAAACACCGTCAAGATGCATTCGCGATTCCAGACCATCCGATCCCGATTCACCCCTAGCGGAATTCGCACATCTTTCCGCCGCTCGTCTACGGCATCCACTACCTCAACAAGCTCATACCAGTCATACAGCTCGAGTTCTTCATCGCCTGTGAGCACGATCAATGCTGTATTATTCAGACAACCATCAATTGCCGACCTGGAAGAAGAGAAGCGCAGCTCCGGGCCTGAGTTGAACATGCTCGAGCCCAGGCCCATCGTCTACTGGGGCGGCGTTGAAGAGCGAATGGGATCCTTACACTTCTAAACATGAGCTTAAAATAGCTGCCTCCGTCATGCGGAGGACTGTTTTCAAGCTTGCTTCTTTTTCTCAAACAAACCTTTACTATAGACCTTGATGGCCAGGCGAGATGCGCTTAATCATATATTAAAATGGGGACCCCTGGAGGAGTTTCGCAGATGGCTTAGGCCATGCACGATGTGATGGGACGGGACTTATTGACTGAGGACGTTTCCCCACGATTACGGGACACGACACACAGAGACACAGAATTTGAAGATATCACAATCGCGGAGCACACGGGGGTCGGTCGGGAATGGGGTTTAATGGCGCCCCAGGATAGGTTATTCGGAGTTTTAGAGATATTTTTCCAGATATTTACGAGGAAATGAACAAGATGCAGCTTGCTCACGCAGGTTAGTTTTTGCCAAATTAAATTTGCTTGTCTGAATAGTTTGATGTGTAAGCTTTGTGATGTTAGTCCCGATAACAGTCAAGCAACAAGTCCTTTTATAAATTAAGCTTATTCTTCATTACTAGAATAATTTTATTTCCGTCAAACTTATAACTACCTAGTTAGTATCTCTGTCGAAATCCATCAATTAATACCTATCATGCCAATAGGCAGTTACACAATACATGAATGAATAAGAAAGCCCCGGCGACCGGCCGCCATCACGGTCGGAGCCCCGCTAAGGCCATAGCATCATAGGTCTACATTATGGCATTCGCCAATGATATAACATCATTCAACAACTTCTCGGCCTGACTCACCTATTGGCCAATTTATTGTAACCCCCAAAAATACAGCATGGTTTATTATAATAATTAGCAGTATACTACGTAGTCGTGGTCCGCTTCCATTAGGTATTCAAGTCGAATTATACCCCGTATCACAACTTAGTATAAAATGGATAGCGACACCGAGAGCGAAAGTAGCTTCGAGCTACCTGAGGATGGCAGCTCTCACGACGGCGGAAATGGCGGTATCACTCCGATTAGCCTCACTCGAGCACAAGCCCTGAATTTATACGTCAGCCATGCTTTCTCGACTTGGAACGCTCGTGGGTATGAGTTCGCGGCAGTATGTCTCCCGGAAGAAGCGGCTCGATGGGCTAAGTTCATACCGGCTCACCATGTCGATAGATCCTCTTCACGGCAGCCGCATATCCTGATACCCTTGTAGCAGCTGCGTTACGGCAAGTCTCACCGACTATGTTAAACATATTCTAAGCTTGTTGTTAACACGGACTTGCAGCATGATCGTAGTATACTTTGCCATGATCTTGTTCTCCAGCTCGGTTGGGCAATGGGTCCAGAAGTCTCCCAGCAGACTCCGCACGTTACTCTCAACTATCGTATGTAACCGCGGTTCAGTTATTCTCGGCTCCTTTTTCTGGATCTTGATATTGAGTCAGGAGGACTTGGTAGGACGCCAAGCAACGTTTGTGTTACCTAGAAACGCCATCCTCAAGGGTATAGGATTCGCCGTCGCGGTGACGTTCGGTATTATCGAGCGTTTAAGTGCGTCCGGCAATCTCATCTCGATGGAGCGAGATTGGGTTGTTACCGTTGCTGCTCCTGCTGGTAACCCCTATGACCTTACTCACCTAAATGCTGTTATGAGGAGGATTGATCTTGTCTGCAAACTAATCTCGCCTATCTTAATTTCGGCCGTCATCTCGATCCTCGGATCAATTCGGTTAGGTGTTATATTCACGGGACTTACTAGTCTTATTAGCATCCCAATCGAAGTCTTCTCTGCGAAGCGAGTGTGGAATAGCAGCCCCTTGCTACAAGCACCACGTGCAGTACCTACCTCGCAGCCAGCGGCGGCAACGCAAGGAGCGTCAAGATCGTGGATATCAAGGACCCGGCAGTACTTTCGCGGCTTCGAAATGTACTTTAGCACCTCCGTCTGGGTCCCGTCTGTCGCATTAGCACTTCTACATTTTAACATGCTGACCTGGAGGGCTACTTTCATCACCTATCTGATCAATATAGGTTACTCGCTCAATATAATTACACTTGCTAGGGCTATTGGCTCTGTGTTCGAGATAAGTAGCACGGTTATTACTCCCCGAGGTATCGATTACATGGGAAAGACGCATCATCACGCTTCTACTTCACCTATAGACGAAGACGACGAGTCAGGGGTTCGCTTGATCACTGGTGATCAGGAGGGAAACCGGGATGTCCAAACCATGATAGGATTGCAGCGGTTTGGGCTCTGGGGTATGACTTGGCAAATGATAAATACCGTACGTCCCTAGTCCCATACGATTATATTGATGTCTAACGTACCAATACTTACAAACTACAAAGGTACCGGTTGTTCTAGCTTTATGGGCAATCTCAGCACAGCAAGACGAGGCAGAGAACCTATTTGCTGTTATCCGGAGGATTATCCATGAAAAGGTTCCACCCAACGCGGGTTGGAGTGTCGTCTTATTCTCATTCCTGGCGTTCTCGCGGCTCGGCGTATGGGTCTTTGACCTTACGACCCAGCAATTAACGCAGACACTTGTCCCGGGACACCAACGGTCAAGTTTTGCGGGCACGGAGAACTCGGTCGTGAACATATTTGAGCTCCTCGGCGCCGGTGCGGCCATAGCTTTCCCCCGTACGGAGCAGTACAGGTGGCTGGCATTGGCGAGCCTGGTGTCGGTGCTAATTAGCTGTATCATGTATGCTGGCTGGGTCCGTCGACAGAGAGGCCACTTGATTCACTGGGAGAAGCTAGCTCGGGGGTTATGCGTCAATGAACGGGGTTGGTGAATGGTCGGGGGGGTGGATAGGGGGGGCTTCACTCATTAACGGGGGAGGGTCACATGACGGGGTGGTCGACAGGCAAGCCAGAGATGTATGATGGCGTACATCGTCGTTGGATATCAGCGCCGTATGTTGTCAAGTACCTTCCCGCCGTAAGTCAGGTTAGGTCCTAACGACTAAGCACCCCTCATGGCTAAGTCCTAGCATAGGCCACGATCCTTTTTCTTAAACCAACCCACGCACCGTAGCCTTAACTTAGAACTCTTTTTTTTTTAACTATTCGCACTCATTCTTAGCCCCGTATTTCCTAAACTTGTGAATATTTGTCTTGGTCATTACTTGTGAGTTGTACAGTTGCCGAATCTAAATTCTAATTCCCTCTTCTACGAACTTGCAAACTTCTTAATCGCAGCCATCCTCGCAGCTATCTTCATATCCATCCTACTACAAATTTTCTTCAACTTCCCTTAGTAGCATATTAGCTCCGACATAGAATTATCTTCACTTAATTTCCACGCACAAGAAGCTTCTCGCACTCATGTCTTTCGCACCGAGAACTCCCTCTCCTACGCCGCAGCGCTCATCATGCGCTCACCGTCGACGCCATTCTGTGAAGTCCCCAACGATCGTCAAGCAATACATGCCAGGACTAGAGCTACCTCTCGCCGATCGTCAAGCTCAGCTTTTGCAACAACCGTCGCCATTCGATTCGCCAACTTTCAACTCCCAGAGCACATCAGCCAGGGAGCATGATCTCAGACAGTTTTGGATACGGACATCTAACTACGTTCCTCTTGAGCGCCCTCTTAATCGTCTATCTTCACTCGGCACCCCGTCTCCCTTGCCCTCGGAGTCTCTCCTAAACCCTAGCCCTGCTAGTTGCGGAGTATCTAACGCGAGCAAGCCGTATTCCTTCAACAAGAGCAAGCGGTTTCTCGCCGCGGAGCTATACAGGCTCGTACTGGATGAAAATCCGGTTACTCAGCTCAACTATCTCGAGGCTGGCAAATACGGCCGTCCCAAGAAGCGAAACGCAGCTACAGATACGGACATGGAGAATAGCGATCACGACTTCCGTACCGGACGGCAAACTGAAGATATAATGGAAGATGCATACCCAGTGAAGCGTACAAAGCTGTGCGGTTCGGATATGAACACCGATAGCCCTGCCGACTCCCAACAGCTCCCTCATCCGCGAGTACACCCGCTATACGCTGCCCGCTACGGTAAAGACTCGGCCTGGCATATCCCCAGCACAGAGGGATAATATGTGGTGAAGTTACGCAGATCACGAAGAAATCAACGCCCATAACACGGTCTAATCTAATAAAGGTATGCTTAATGGGTTCCGTACACGATAAGTAACTAACGAACGAAGATTCAGAATATGCAACGTTTATGAGGACCGTTAGCATAGCCGGTGTTGGCAGATTATGAACTAATCACTTTGAATACAAACCTACAAGGTCAGCCACGAAACTCGAGCTATATCTCTACTCGCTAACGGCGTCAAAGTCTCTAGTTTGGCTATTTTATATACGACAATCGCAACAGGTTCGCCAGAAGACTTCAATTTCGCACATTACCTAGCAGAACATGATCGAGATTAACACATTCGAAAACGAGCAGATTGCAACAATGACGAGGGCTAGGGCCCCAATAGGTCAAATGTGAGATTGGAACATCTAGCAAGGGGGGAAGACTCATTGCTTACTCGTCAGCTGTGCAAATCAGAAAAGGCAAAAACGGAAAATCGTGAGCATGGCTTTGATTTTGGTAAAACCCTATTAAGGTACTCTTATCATATACTCGTGCCACAGACCTAACAAAGCTCATTAACTTTTAATACGAACTCAACCTCCTATTGCCCTGCTCGAACTTTTCGTAACTATAACCTACATCGCGTATATCATAAAAGCACGCTTCGGTCCTCAGCTCGGACGATAACAGACCACCTGAGGATGTTTTTTTGTTGGGGGGTTTTTTTTTTTGCACCTTCCTCCCGTATAATCGTTGGTCTGTTCTATTTAGGTAGTTTGTACTCTTTGCACAGACCTTTTGAATTATCATAGATATCTGCCATCTCTCCTTCATTGCTCTTCTCTTGAGTTTCTCTTTCCCATCTTCACCACAAACGTCTTCCATCCAAAACAGATTTCATCTCAATCGGCTCTTTTTCTCGCTACAAGGCAAACACCAAATCGCGTACCGACTTACACTTTACTGACGTTTGATATACTACAATCATCCATCATCATGTCTTCCGCACCGCGAACTCCTTCTCCCCGGCCCAAGAGCCCGTCGGAGATCCCGACCCAGACACCCCAATTTCGTGCTTTTTCTCTTAGCACCTTGAATGGAAGATTCAACCATGGAAATCTAGAGCCAGTCTCACCCACCAGTCGTGCCATACTAAACCACTACTTTAAGGGGCTACCGACGCCTAGCTCCAACAACCAGTTTAGAGAGCCCTCCCCATTCTACTTGCCCACCTCTGACTCCGGAAGCGATTCTACTTGCCGGAGGCATCTCAAACTGCAGCAGAAGATAAGACCTACCAACCTACCTAGTGTTGCGCCACCTCTCCGTCCCTCAGCACCAGGATCACCTTGTCCTCGGCGCGGCCGAAAACAACAATCGCGTCCAAACGTGACATCCGACAACTACACAGCTAAGGAAGTCCCAAAGAAGGACCCAGCCCGAAAATCCTTAGCAAAGGGACTCTACAATCTTAGATCTAGAGACTCTATTCCTAGTACTTCTCGTAAGCACAACAACCCTAGGGGCGCTCAGCTCTTGGGCAGGACAACCTCTTCGAAAAGGCGTGCAAGCCGTTCTACAAAGAAGCGAAGTGCGTCTCAATATGAAAATACGGAAGATAGCCACGACGATCAGGTAGATGACGGACGGCCCAGCGCAATAGATCAGGGGCCGCCAAAGAAACGTACAAAGAGATATCCTTCAACCCCCGAAGCCGACAGCGCTACTGGTCATCCGGTTCCTAGTCACAGACAAGTTGACCCCCTATAAGCTCGTCACCTGCAAGCTTATCCTCGAGTCCATCCGCGCCACGGCGCTAAATAGGGTAAGTCACTCATCTGGACCTTAGTTTCTATTATATAATACACTAACAACCACGGCAGCATCTTTGTTTTACCCACACAACCTCTACAGAAGTACACGACTTGGATCTTTCGAACTTGGAGACAAACAATTGGTGTTTCTATAACGGCGGACTGCCGGGAATGGCTTGTGTGGGATGTACTAAGGAAAATACCAAGGGGGATATCAGGAGGTTCGCTAGATGGGATAAGGCAGCGTGGGTTACGTTCGGGAGACTAATGTCAACGGGTCGTTCCCTAATACAAAGCGAGTAAGCACCGGTCGGAGAGACGAAGGTATCGTCGGTATAGACCCCGTGCTAACCATGCACAGACAAACAACCAACAAGGCAACATGTTCCCAACATCATCACATAGTCTTTTCGTAACATTCACCTATACTATCTACCAAGGTACATACATTAGGTACTCAGGTACGACACATACTAATACCAACATGTCGCCAACCCTACACTTATGTTTGTACCTTTCTAATGTATAGACCGCGTAGATTACCAATGCATCTTCGCGCCTCTCTTGTGAACAGACCACTTAAGCTGATTGTAACGGGTTTGTAACTATACCGTACCAACCACCCGACCTTCTTACCATGTTCGTACCTGTTGTATATACTCGCTGGTACGTCCCAGCTGGTTTGTACCTCTCCTTGTACAGACCTCCTGGCTTTATATAAATATCTAGCCTCCCCCCCTGCGAAATTCCTCTCGAGTTTTTCTTCTACAACACCATCTCCATCTCTGACTGCTCTCTCAATTGATATCCAGAAACACCAATCTGACATCAATTCATCAGTCTCAATCTCTAGTACTTCAGACATTTACCATTATGTCTCCCGTGCCTAGAACACCTTCGCCCGAGCCACAATGCTCGTCTGGCTCGTCTGATGGGTTCCCTTCTCTGCCTCGTACGACTCCACGTCGGGGCTCGACTCCTGATATCGCTCACGGACTCGACGATGAAGACAACGTCAAATTGACTTCACCCTCGGGCCATGATCTATTGGAAAAGCATTACCAAATGCCTAAGATGCCCACCTGGCCGTCGCCCTTTGACTCTCCTACATCAGACAGGATGAGCTCATCGGCTTCCAAAGATCCCTATGAGCGACGGAATATCATGAACTTTGTACGCATGACAGAGCACCGACCAGACTGGCGCCTTTCAGCATGGGGCACACCATCTCGCTCCTCCAGCAAAAAGGAGGGTCGGGCAAAGCAGTCTTACTCCGGAGGTACGTTCGTCGGCAACGGCGATGACCCTCGACGGATATTGCCTTTCGAAAAGGATCCTGTCCGACGGTTCCTTGCTGCAGAGTTCCATCGAATGGCAGATAGTCCACCTAGCCAAAAAAACGTCACCAATACCAAATCACCTGCAACACCTCAATCCCGAAATCAGACGCCAAATTCTCGTAAGAGAGGCGCCACCACAGTTGAGAATCAAGACAAAGATCTCGACGCGATTAGGGAGAGCGGTGACGAGGATTGGATAGACACCAAGCTAGTCCCTGGCATGGCCGAATTCGAGCTTTCTCGCAGAAGCCCAACCCCAAGAGGACGGCCTTCAAAGCGAGCAAAGCACGCCGAGGCAGGCTCAGACTACGAGGGCATTACCGACTGTCCTCAAACCAGTCATTAGCGGGTACCGTCCCCCTATATACTGGGAGACAATCCAAACTGGAGCGTCTCGTCTGAGAACTGTAACATAGCGCGCTACTTGCGCGAGTCTGTAAGTGATACCATCCTACCAAAGTATAACGTCATTCATATATGCTAATATAATCTACTGCAGGCATAATACCTTAGCTACTTAGCTTTAGGTAGGAGTTCCTTGTCGGAAAACCCAGTACGACAAACAGGAACCGCAGACTCCCCCCAACACCGACTATTGGCAGACCTACGCCATGTGGATAGGATGCCTTGACACCTATCCGGTTGGACACTATTGTTGGGAAGATTGGTAGTTGTAAGAAGTCTACATCGTCGTTAGGGGAGATGGGCAACGGACGTACAGCCAACAGGGCTAAGTGCATAATGACGAGACTTCACACTATCAATATATGTGCCCTCTGTACGTGAAAATGCTACTACCTACGGCATCGCATACATGGCATCACACACAAAACTCTCTATGTTGTTCTTTGGTGACTGATGTGCTGTAGACCATTTGGTCATGTGACATGGACAACCCCTGAAAGTGACTTTGTTTGCTGAATTGCCAACTTGACACTCGTGACCACGTACTAACTTAGTAAATATGGCGACTCGTATATTTCTGCTCATCTCATATTATATCACTTACACTTTTGACTTCACATTACACAGGAAAAGAGTCAGAGTTTGGGATTTTTAAGGTAGTTGGACATATGATCACTTATATAAGACATATTTAACTTAGAGGTATCTGATGTGGTAGAGCCTATAAGATGAGTAATTATGAAAATAAAGTACCACCCTTATTTTCAGATGGTAGTCATGGGATAGTAGTACATGAATCCCAAACATGCTCCTTAATGACATATATAAGAGTCTTATCATAAGACTTGTCCCCCCCTTTTTTTCGGTATGTACTGACCTTCTCTTGCTATACACTTATATCGTGAAGCGTGAACTAACCTTACAACTATCAGGCGGATCTTCAGTTCTGGTAGGTATAATTCTCCCAAGTTCATATATGAAACTATTATACGGTTGAAAAGACATGTAGTCACGAGACATCATAACGACTAACTTATACTAGACCATTACGATGTCTGCGACAGCCGAATCTAATGCTGGCAACGACATCAACTCGAACGCCAACAACAATGCTGCACCCAACCCCGACAATAATATCAACGGCACCAGTGAAGTCCAAGACAACACCAACACCACCAACATAGACCCCGAGCCCGGTAACATAGAACCAGAGAATACCAATCCCAACAACAACAACCCCGAAAGCAACACATCCGAGCTTCCCCTACCCAGCACCATCCAACCCCCAACCGTCCCTCCAGAGATCGCCAGCCCAGAGCCTTCCGACCCAGCCACAGCCACAGCCCTACTCCCCACCCCCGAAGTAGGAATCTCCAACCCGTCACCAAATATCGAGCCCGCAACTCCTCAACCTCAGGACCCCGAGCTAGACAAACCTCTTCCGCTAACATACTGGCTACTCACCGGCGGCACCGGCGCACCGCCCTCGATGGGCAGTTTCCTACGCATGACGAGCGAACGCAACGCTGTGACCCGAGAGGCAGAGGCGCGAGTAATTGCTCGACGGCAGGCCCTTGAAGAGCGCAGGGCATATCTCGCTCGCTGGGACGAGGAATGGGGCCCCATGGGTGTTAAAGGACTGCTGGCTAAGGTATTTAGGAGTAAGAAGCGGAAAACCTAAACAGGTAGTTAAGTAGATAGCACCTTTTAGTTACAGTGCCACTGATTTCATTAGTAAACGCACTAACTATAGGTAAATAAAGTAGAAGAATGATTTTAACAAGTACGTCCCAATCTACTGATCCCCTATCCTCCAGTTGGTAATAGTAAAATTAAAACATCTAAATTCACAACCAAGGTATCATCAGTAAACATTACAATCATATCAATAATTCTCACTTGAGAATAGGCAAAAGCATCACAAGCAGTCTCACGAAAACAAGAATTAGTCTTAACGTTAATGAAAAACCTCGATTAATGCAACGCAAATCTTACTGCCAGCCCCCCCCTCCCCCCAGCCTTTGCCCCTGGTCTAATCCGAACCGCTTAACAGTATAATATGTACAACTTGTGAAGTTCCCTCCGAACTGCCTATCGACAGCCAGCTCCGAATGGCCGTCTACCAAATCTTCTCGGAGAAGAGTAGCAGGCTGAGCTGGCGAGGCTCTGTTCATAGAGACAGAACCAAGCTCGCGAAACCCGAGCAGAGCATTACGATAGCCGCCGAGCAAGCGGTAGTGACCAGAAATTTCGTAAATAGGCAAAACGCCACCAGCTCTGGACGCCCGAGACTTTTTTACCGTGATGTGGTGTGGTGTGCCTAGCACACAACAGGGGAAATATGAGACTAATGTGTCAACGTAGCTGCAAGCTACCATAAACCAGGGGGGTCTGGTATAATGAAAAGACTTCCAGGCAGCATCTGGAAGTTGATTTGTTCGTGGGTATGGAAATTAGACGCCCGGATTAAAACCGTCCATCAGCTCAAGGAGTAAGATCCGCAATCAAGATTATGAGAGTCATCGGCCGAACGTCATGCAAGCTGGTATCGTAAGGCCATCATCCAACGAGACCCTGAGTATCCTGACACTCAGTAAGGCTCTTAACGTAGGAATATCATAGTGCAATTGAATGGTATGTATTAATAATCCGGCTCCAGCGACGAAAGGTCGTCCACAGATATTTTTGTGTCCGTGATACCAAAAATAGGGGCGTTCTTCCTAGCCCATTGGCGCGTAATCAATGAAGCTATTGGTCGTTAGTAAAGTAAATAAACGTGGCCATACAGAATCACATACCTTTCATAAACTTCTTGCTAGCATACTTCTTGTAGAAGGCCTCGTGGCAGATAGGACGAGCAAGATAATCGACCATAAGCTCAAACACGGGTTCTATCTCTTCTTCCGTGTATCCGGCATAGTAGGCGATGGTGGGGTCCTAATAGGAGTTAGAATATGCTACGAACATAAGTTACTATAACATAAATACTTACCCATTCACCACGGTCGAGTATCATTCGAGCAAGATACATGGCACCAGCAGCAACATGGCTGGGTCGGTACGCCAGGAATCGGTAGTCGACAATGCTGATCTCCATTAAGAACTTTCCAATAGTTCGACATTGAATATCGTAATCATCTGCCTTTGAGATCCGTCGGAGAAAGTTCATGGGGTTCGGATAACTTAAGTCGTAGTTCAATGTCTCTAAGATAAACCGCTCTGCACTAAGGATCTCGGCATCACTAAAGCCGTCATCGGATACCATTCTATAGTTGCTGACATGAGGTGATAACACCTCCTCGTACTTGGCTGCAATAAACATGGCTGTAATACCGACAAGTTGGACGCGGTCTAGTTGGACAACCTTCTGAGACAAAAATCGATCGATAATGTTAATAGCAAGGAAGAGAGTCTCGGGAAGGAGATGAAATCGGGTGTGAACTTCGATCATCCAGTCGACAAGGATACTTCGCGTCTTCCACTCCAGCTCGTCCTGGTGTCTTATGTAATCAGGATTGGGTACCGACTTGGATTCGAGGTCTTTGAGGTATTCGAAGATCTCATGGGCATATTCAGCCACCATCACAGGGTCATCTAGACCTTCTTCTTCCAGATCCTTAACACCTTCAGGGAGCACAACACCAACTTCCTCCTTGGAGGAAGCATCTTCTTTCTGAGCGGCCTTCTCGGCTGCGATATCCGGCTTGGATGACTTGGATTCAGGGCGTTCGAGCTTCGCGGGTTCGTTGCTCACAGTGTTAGCCTTCTTGCGAACCGGCTCTTCTAAGAGGACATCTTGCTTGATTGTTGTTGATGATGTGACTTTTCTCTTGTGGGTTGTACCGAGGGCACCGGAACCGGATCCTGCTCGCTTCACCTCGGGCTTTTTCGCCTCCTTGGCGGCCAAAGCAGACCGAGTTGAAGTGGCACGGGCAGTGGCCTTCTGAATTCCTGTAGGTTGTGCGGCCTTGGAGACTAGACCAACTTTGCTAGCAGCTTTCTTGACTTCAGCGGCCTCCCCTTTTCCAACGTTGCTGACATCACCAAGGGCGGCGCGCTTTCTTTGGGCGGTAGGATTCGCGTTGACTGCGGACTTCTTGGACTGAAGGGCCTGTTTGGCCGGCTGAGTGACATCGAGATCAAGGGCCGCAGCCTTTGCACGCGTCATACGCGTAGCATTTGCAGTTGCATTTTCGTCATTCTCATTGGTAGCGACTCGCTGTCTGACAGAGCGTCCCTAGAGAAGTTAAGTTAGATTGTGTTGAATAACGCGATATAGCGTCAAGTGTGGATAAAAGTCGTGATCGGTGAAAGAGTCGGTGAAATAACTAGACTTACCGGAGGCATCTTGTAGGCGGGTGAGTTCGCTTGGTTTAGAAACCACAATTAGATTGGAGGTCTGAAAGAATAGGTCAGCGAAAGCTTGAATGGACGTGCAGTGCATATATGCAGGGTGGGTATATATGTAGGGAATGCTGTGAAGCTACCGCCTTATATACGCGTAGTCTGTCACCTATGGTGACTAGTATGCGACTGTGTATTGGCAGGACAACAAGCAAAAACCTAATAAGTTGCGATAAGAGTAAAAAAACACTTCATACATATGAATTGATTGTTGAAAGGGTCAGGGTGAGGGTGTATGTCAACAAGCTTTAGAGATCAAGCGCTGAATAGTGCAAATGCAAAAATAGGCAATGAACCTTAAAGACAAGACGCGATGCTAGTAAGAAACGTTCGTAGGCAGCGTGATTGGAGAATAAGGTGGTGGAGTAATGAGGGATAGAAAGAAAATAGAAGAGGTAATTGGGTTCGTGAAAAGGTAGGTAAGGTTGTAAGGTGGATGATTGAATGTTGTTGATGAGTAGAGGGAACAGTGATGTTTTTGAAGAGTGCGGCCAATGTTTGGCTTTTGGGTGGGTTTCGAAAGTAAAAGCGTGGTTGTGGAGGTACCCGTAACTTTGACGTGAGGGATGTGTTTGCACGTACCTATTTTATTGCACTGCACGTAGCAGATACACGGTACCCTAGCGCGAATTTGGGGGGGCTTTCAAGGCAGCTTCTAGGGCAGAACACCCCTGTTCAAGCTGTTGTTTTTTAGGGCCTTGATAGTTCTTGATACTTCGGTAGTAACTGAGAATCTCTGGTGTACACGCGCGCAATCTCGCTCAAACCACCAAAAGTCAAATGCCGATTAGACTATGTTGGATATTGGAGAGGCTATTGCTCTTGAAGTGAAACTAGTGAACGAAGATTCAAGACTGGTACTTAAGGGAGGTAATATGGTTCAGAGTGGCCCTCTCAATTGTGTGTTTTGAGAATGGAAGATGGTAAGTAAAGTGAGTAGGTTAAGTAGAGTCTTGAAGGAGAGAGGTTGGTACTGGTTAAAGAATTGCGGTAGCTCCATCACTGCAAGACGCGATCTAAAGATCCCACACGGTACAACAGTACATAATAAAATGGGTCTGCCACCAGGCGACGGTTGTTACGGACCCGCACCTGCTTCTTTTTTTCCTTGGATACGTGACTGACCCCACAAGCCCACTTGAATCAACAGAAGCAACGGAGGGGCAACGGTCTTTTCATTGGCCAAACTTCGCCGACCCGGAGGATTCACTTCTTCTTGACCAATCCACTGACGTGATCCCGTGTTTGCAAGGGTTCATACTTCATCCGTACTTTACAACTCACAGCAAGATGTGGCTGAATCTAATGATTTTCATGTCCTGAATCATTAGTGTATGTAAAACAAACTTTCAGCCTCATTCGCCTTACATAATCCTTAACTCCTCAGCCTCAACACTGGCAAAAACTCGGCTGATCAACGAAATCTTCAATTAAGCTACCTATAATGCCAAGCCTCTACCCTTGACCTCGGAAGAATTTGAATTCCAGAATAGCTTCAATTTCTGAATTTTAGTTCCCAACCTCCAAGGCCGGCCTAGCTTTCCTCTGCCGAGTGCGCCTCAGTCGACATATATGCCACCGTTAGCTGTGAGATGATATAATGCTACAGCCGCGGATATTGTCCGTCTCAGCCCGGAGGGTGCTAGCTAATTGCCAATGCACTCTGAGTCTGCCCCTCCGAGGCTATGCGACAATTCGCAAGGCTCCACGTCCCTCCAAGCCCGGTGTCGACTATGTGCCCAGGGTTTCTAAGGACGATGAGGCCCCCCCTAAACCTGTGAGGCAGCACGCGCCGTCCGGACTCAAGTCTGAAAGGGAATCGACATTAATCCTACGTACATACAAACCTAGAACACCCGGTGTGCGACACCTTAAGCGACCTATCAACGATCACTTATGGAAAGGCAGGCCCTTCCTTCCATTAACCTTCCCCAAGAAGGGTATGGGGAAGGGTGGCCGTAACAACAACGGGAAAATTACAGTCCGGCATCGTGGTGGTGGCCACAAGCGGAGGATAAGGACGGTGGATTTCCACCGCTGGCTTGCCGGTCCCCACCTTGTCGAACGAATCGAGTACGATCCGAACCGTAGCGCGCATATTGCGCTGCTCACCGAGGAAGCTACCGGCCAGAAAACGTACATCGTAGCAGCCGAGGGTATGAGGGCCGGAGACGTAGTGCAAAGTTATCGGTCTGGTATCCCTCAGGACCTTCTCGAAAGTATGGGTGGAGTTATCGATCCGGGTATTCTGGCTGCTAAGACGGCACATCGTGGAAATTGCTTGCCATTACACCTTATCCCCGTTGGAACTCCGGTATACAACGTCGGTTCTCACCCAAAGGGAGGTGCTGTCTTCTGCCGAAGTGCGGGGACCTTTGCTGTCGTTGAGAGTAAGGAAGAAGAGGTAAGGGACGACGGAGTTAAGGTCATGACGGGTAAATATGTCAATGTTAGGCTACAGAGCGGAGAGGTTCGGAGAGTCAGCAAGGATGCCTGTGCAACTATAGGCGTGTCGAGTAACCCTCACCATCACTATCGACAGCTTGGTAAGGCTGGTAGAAGCCGATGGTTGAACATTAGACCAACAGTACGTGGTGTGGCAATGAACAAAGGTATGTTAGATACGCGATCCAGATTCATGTCAAATATGATATTAATTATTGGCCTCCAGTGGATCACCCTCACGGTGGTGGTCGTGGTAAATCCAAGGGTAACCGACACCCAACAAGTCCTTGGGGTACACCGGTATGGCTCACCTCGTCCCTCGAAGACGAATTTAGCGCTCAATTACTAACTCATACTCTCAGTCGAAAGGTGGTTACAAGACACGGAGAAAGAACAACCCCAACAAATGGGTTGTGGTTCCTCGGGTACGGAACATGGGCAAACGGAGAGACAAGAAGGGCAAAGACTCATAGAATTGTCCTTCTTCGAGCGAGTCCTATGCACTCTGTCTATATTACAACCTACAGTCTCAGCGAAAAGAGCGAGACTTCTGTATTGAAGTGTACTATATTAACCGAGTCATCGTACAACTCTAGCTGTCACTAGCTAGGTATCCTTACAACATCGTGCATTTTCGACAGGTAAGTTACGCTTAAGTGTGAATTGCAACGGGACGTGCCATCTATGTTTATTTTCTTCCTATAGGCCAGCCTCTCTTCTCCTAATCATATACCTAGCCTAAATGCATGTGGTGAGGCGTGGGCACGTGGTCTATGCACATTGCCGACGTCAAATGTAAGTAAATTACACTTTGACACGTAAAAGCACGTCTCCTCCAAGTTGCCAAAATGCTTTGGTAAACTCTATATTGCTATATTTAAATTATTAGCTACTCCTGGATACAATGAAATACTGTCCGAAGCGATTATGATTGGTGGGGACCAGTGCTATCCGTAACCCTCATGTAAGGAGTATGCAAACAAGCTGCGAACCTAAGTCAAAGCCAAATAGTCCACAGACGCTTGCAATATTCCTTTCGCCATCTCTCAATGCTTTAGGTACATAAGCTCAAAATTCCAGATCCTAGCTTTGAAATTTATCGAGCACTATCTCCCTAGCGACGAGACATTCCTCGATGAATACTCTAGTGGAGTATCCTGTCGATCATTCCATCAAGACTCGAAAGCCCACTACCCCCTTTATTTATCTTCTCTAAACATTAGAGTAAAAAAACATGGCTTTACGGCATATCCTCTCTTCGACATGAGTCAAAGCTCTAATATATCAAGGTTAAAGAGTTCTTATCACATTCCTTTTATTAACAGCTATGGAGATGTTCTGGCTAAGTATCTCTACTAAAACGTATCGACACATATAATTAACTTTAATAATATAGGGAGAATAATATTTAAGGTCCATACCCAAGCCTCTGCTCCAAAACAACAAACAAACCCAGAGGCGAGGCATAGAAAGCCATGACTTATCAAAGTTGCCTATACCAGTTTTGGACAGGATCACCCAGGCACTCGCCCACAGTCACAGCCTTATAGCCTCGGCTCTGAATACCCTTGAGCATGTACTCGGTCAAGTTGTGCACAGTCTGCTCGTGGATATCATGCGAGATGACCAGGGCATCGTCCGAGTCGGGAGACAAGCCCACGAAAAACTGGTCAAAGTTATCCTTGGAATTCTGAATCAAGTCCGGCGAGTCGTTGAGGTAATCCGCGGTGTCGAGGTCGAAGTATATGACGTGGTACCGCAGCGCGGCCAGGTCGTCCTCGCACCCGCTGGCTTTCGTACACGAACTGTACGGCGGCCGCATGTACGTCGGGATGAAGCCGAGGATGTTGCGGAACGCCATCTCGTTCTTGATCATCTCGTCCCGCCGCCGCGCTGACGTGATGGCGCTTAGATCGGCGTGCGACCACGTGTGAGATGCGATCTGGTGGTTATCGGTGTACATGCGCCTGGGCAGAAAATGCGTTAGGAGTCAATTTCACTGGCTGGCATTGTGGGTAGTACTCACTTAATTATGGACGGCCATTGGAGACTTGCATTATCAATCTCACCCTTGCCGTTATTAATGCCGGTGATGAAGAACGTCGCTTTAGCGCTATACTGCGCCAGGAGATCTAAGAGCTCAGATGTGTACTGGCCAGGCCCATCGTCGAAAGTCAGAGCCACATCACCGTCATTCTGGCAGTCGTAAATCCCCACGCCGCCGACCGCCACGCTTCCAAGGGGAGACCGAGATAATGTCGACGTGTTAGTGCCGCTGGGGATTTTATTTGCGTCGCAAGCCGGTCCGTAATCGAAGAGGCAGTCCGGAGCATTACAGTAATCTGAGGTGGTACCGCAATATCTACCAGTGATACATAAGCAACAAATATCTTGGAGAGATGCAATGAGCTTACCCAGAAATAGAACAACATTCCGTCGCACCGCACACTTGATCGTCGAAATCAGGCCCGCAGCGCCCATCGCCGGAACTTCCACCGTCCCCACCACCGTCCGGCGAACACGTTCCAAATGCAGATTGACATCCGAGATCACAATAATCGGTTGAGTTACCGCAGTACCCACTAGGCGTAGGTGTCAGTACGGAGTCCAAGAAGAAGCTCGTCCTAAATTACTCACTACTGAGAGCAGCACATGCCAGTTGGGCAGATATAGCCATGCTCTCCGGCTCCCGTATTCCCGCACGTTAGATCCGGCGAGGTCCCTCCGTCACCATCGTCTCCAGATCCGTTTCCGTCGCCGCCGGACCCGCTACACAGGCCGAATTGTTCCTGACAGCCGGTGGCGCAGTAATCCGTACTGTTTCCGCAGTAGCCGTACTGGGAGCAGCACAGGTTATCAGAACATGTGTAACCCTTCGTCCCGGCCCCCGTGTTCCCGCAAGTCAGGTCGGGCGAGACATCGCGCTGGCTTAGCGACGGAGGCACCACGAAGGCGAAGCCAATCGCCAGCTGACTTGCGAGAAAGAGGAACACTTGGATGCGCGAATACATCCTGCACGAGAGTTCTCAAGCGAGCGTGTTCATGAGCGAATATAGGAAGCTAACGAATGGTGCTGTCAGACGGGGGTTGAACAGCAGAAAATTTTCAGGTACCTACGTGGGAATCGGCCGCTCATAAGATATTTACACGAGTGCGGCTGACCATTCAGGGCGGCGCCATAATCGGATGGTACGGTCGTCTATCCATCTCAGCTTTCGTCTCGGACGACGGAGGCGTGCCACAGAGCTACAGGAGCTCGGGAATTACGACCCGGGGGACAATAGGGGGTCATCCCGATGGGATGGGCGAGCGTGAAAACGGTGCATGCATGGGCGTCGGGGAACTCGACGAAAAAGTCTGGTATCGTAGCTGCATGCGAGATAGCATACGATGGACCATATAAAAAGTTTTGCGCCAATTACATTGCTCGGACAAGTCAGTAAGTCCGTATTCCTTCTACGTTGCTGTAGTGTAGGTACGAGCAGGAATTTCTCGAACGATGATGTGATGGCAGATCTTTGGGGCCTAGATCGCCAATAAATCTGAGGCTATTCCCCAAGTCCGCCAGATCGGACCTGAGATTGCGTAATCTAGGATGTACAAAGAGATTACCTACTTGATCAGCTCGGAATCGACAACATGTTACAAGCGAACCGAACACTACCGCATTACACAAACAGCCATATCACAATCTCAATCTCGAGTTCGTACGCGTCCTCGAAAGCGAAAGCCAGGACTTTTTTTTCCTCTGCTCCAAATCTTAGTAATAGAAATAATACAGCTACCAAAAGGGGTGATTCATCTTGCAGGTTCCTATCGATATTTCCTGCGACACCAGCACATCACGGCTGGCAACGTGCAGGTTACATGCATGGTCGAGGCCTGCGGTGAGTTATCTGCTGGCTTTGCCAAGCCATTATTGCAGCTACCAAATACGAGATCACATTGTTTTTTTTTTGTCTCCTCATGTAGCACTACGCAATAGGGCGGAAATGATAAGTTGATAACTGACATGAAAATGCTTTTAAAGCCACCATTACTACCTAGTCAATGAGTTATGACTAGGATATATAAGTAAGTGGTTTGTTTCTCACTCTTAGAACATGATATTGATCATGACAGGAGAGAATGAGGTGAGACGTTATCTACCTCCAATTATAACCTGCAAGAAGGCGATTTCATAGCCAATTCGGCTAGAGAATACAGTAGTTCTAATTACAAGGCTTAAGAACGAATTAGTTAACCAAAGCCTTGCTGGTTATAGCCTTGTGAATAGTGAGATATAAACAAATACCGACAAAGATCAGCCTCTGCCAATACATCTAAGCGACTCTCCAACGTACGCAATTGGGGCTTTTACCCTAAGCCATGTCAACACAGGCCAGTTATATATAATATTATTTAAGACTTAATACATACCTAGATAGGGGGGAATATACGATTACGCCTTTACGGCCACGAACTACGGAGGCCAAGCGACACCAAGAGTGGGAGTGTGGACTGTCCGTGTATAAAAGTCGACATCACGGGTTATGAACTAAATGTGTTTATTTAGTTTAAGCCACGCAAGCCACGTAATGAGATGCGACCTGTCTTGCCCCTGTATGTAAACATATACCTAGACGGGTACTTCGGTACATCAATGGTCTTAATTTACATATGTAGCTTTAATTGCCGGTAAAGTTAAAATAACCTCCCGCACCTCGTGTCACGCTGAAATACCTATGATGCAATAATGCAACTGCTGAATATGCCTTTCAACAAGTCATTTGATATAGATATGTATTCTGGGAGCATTTTCTTCGTATGTCATGACAACATGCGAATACCTATACATACCTACCTAAGCGCGCTCATATAACGAGCCGTTTTCCGTCATAGTATAGAACTATAGGACAGAATAGGACAGCATAGCCTACCTTCGGTACTTGTAGCAGCATAATATTTTAGCGTATCATCTGTACTAAACACTTCACTTCACCACCGCATCTTAGGTATTAATGCAAGACACTAAGGTACCTAGTAAATCGAATTGAATCCCATTTACATATTTATTCACCTTGGATCGAAGGCGCCTTGCCACGTTACACATGACTTCTCCTTTTCCCCTTCTCTACGTAGATCTTGATTTCTTTAACTACATATTTTGTAAAACCTGTCTAAGACCCGAAGCAACACAACAACAAAAAAAGTGCATCTATAATTCCGACGAGGACAATTCCATTAAAAAAAAAAAAGACTATTACACAACGCACCACTCTTGTGCTGCCACTTATGTACAATACATACACTGCCACATTGCTATTGTTTTGACAGCGGTAGTTCGGCCGACCTGACCTGGTCTAACATTTATTAAGATAAAAACGGAGCCCGAGGGTCCCAAAGAGAATCAATATAAGGGAATCCCCCCATCCGCGCGGCAAAACTCGTTCCTAGCGTTCGTCCCAACCGTACCCATACTTTTTAAGCCCTCCTAAAAAAACAAATTCGACGCCGTCAAACGGTGCTAACCCAAGATCCTGGACCCACACGACCTGTTACCTCATCGGGGCTTGGCTCGTCTCGAATTCCCTATTCCTCTACCTTGAAAAGGCGCAGCATAAGTCGATCTCTCCATTGGCATTCGTTAGCAGCGAGACGCCTGTGTCGTTTTGCATTTGGGGTTTTTATTTGGGGGTTTTTATTTGGGTTCCCTGGGAAGAACAATTAATTAATTTGTAGTTTGAAGGAATCTCCCGAGGGCAGTGACCAGGGAAACAAAACACCAGGAAATTCGGGAGGCACTTTTAAATCTCTCTCCACACCTTCTCCATACATACCTACATTATACTATACATACGTACAAGCATCGTCATCTGATGTACATACACCTACATAACTTCACATGCGTACCTGTATCCAAGTCATCTAAGAGCTTAGGGGGAAGCGGATACCATCAATCTTATTGTTATTGATAATGCCCGAGGGCGACAGCGCTGTTCCATCCATCTCTCCTTTGCTTTCCCATCCTTACAGCAAAATGCCCGATCGCAGTCCTTCAGGCTTCCAGAGCCGTAAATCTAAGCTTAGCTTCGTCGTTGTTGGGTCTTACGTATTCGACTGGTTAATACTTATAGTCGTCGGCGTTGTTGGCGTTATTCTGGGCAACGTTACTCCGAACAAGAGACCCTTTAGCTTACAAGATCCTAACATATCGTGCGTATTGCCCCTTTCGCAATTGTTAGGGAACTCCATTGGTGTAATTGGCTAACCGTCCACAGCTTTCCTTTCACCGTTCACGAGACCGTAAATTCCAAACTCCTGTTGATCTGCAACGCCGTTATCCCCATCGCCGTTGTCCTAATCGTCGTCTTTATTTTCGTTCCGGGCCCTACCGTTCCCAAGGGCACTCCGAAGTCCTTAATATGGAAGCGAAAACTATGGGAGTTACATACGGGATGGCTGGGCCTGGCCCTCTCCCTCATCTCGGCTTGGATCATCACACAGGGCATGAAGAACCTCTTCGGAAAGCCGCGACCGGATCTCCTATCCCGATGCCAACCGGATTTTGAGCATGTCGCTAGATATATTATTGGGTTTCACACGCCCGCCGACGACGGTTCGTTCGACGGCCCATATAATGGTCAGCTCGTTAGTGCGGATATCTGCAAGAACCCGGACCGTGCTCTTCTCGACGATGGCTTTCGTAGTTATCCTTCGGGACACGCCAGCTCTGCGGCCGCGGGTTTGATTTACCTTTCGTTTTTCCTAGCCAGCAAATTTGCCATCACGTTGCCTTTCGTACCGCATGACGCGGCAACGGCCGATACGAGTACAGTTACTGCTTTCCCATCGCGACTGCGTAACATCGACACGTCTTATGAAGCTGTGCGAAACGAACGGGAAATCGATAGGTCTGCCTCTCCTGTTGATCCGGCCACGGTTAAGCAGATCGGGGCCCATAACTCGGCTGTTCTCTCCACCCGAAGACAAGCGGCTGCCCCGCCTATATACCTACTCCTTCTAACCGTTCTCCCCTTCTTTACATCCATATTCATCGCTAGTTCACGTTGGTTCGACTTCCGGCACCACGGATTCGATATCCTCTTCGGGTTTATCATAGGAACGATCTGCGCATGGTTTGCATTCCGATATTATCACATGCCGATCCGCGCTGGTGCCGGATGGGCATGGGGACCTCGTAGTCACGACAAGGCGTTCTGGGCAGGCCTGGGATCGTGGAGTTACGCCACGGATAAGAAGCACTGGGAGAGACCCGGTGACGAAGTGGAGAGGATGACGGGCCACCGCGCAGACGACATCGAGTTAGGCATGCGGTATCGAACGAAGGTGGATGATCCATCTCATGCCGAAAGTTCGGAAACTCCTGCTCAGACGGATGGGCGAATTTGAAAGGAGAATGGCATGGAGTTCTAAGGAAAGCGAGTTGTTATTTTTTTGGCCGGTTGTTTAGCGTACGAGGGTGGCATTTTCGCACTTGTATACGATATTAGGGGTGCATATAGACAGGATACGAAACAAACTAGCTGGATTATTACCAGCAGAATATAAGGTTGGCTCTGAGTCTTTGCACAAGCTGAGGTTTTCTTGGATTGCTTGTAGTGACTATTATATACTCTTGTAAAATGCGTAATACAAATCATCAAGGTTTGTCTGAAAGTCTGAGATTAGGGTAGGACGATGTGTCAGGCTTCGTGGCTTGCGTCTCGTAACAAATCCAGCCATTGCCCTCTCCGAATACGTCTTATCATGTGTGTCGCACAGTCCCTCCTTGAAGTTTAATGGTGAGCATCCCTTTGACCTGCCCCTTAGCCGTATAGCTATTGTAGCACTTTGGGAGGCCCGGTCAACTCGACGCTCGCCCTTTTCCCGTTGCTTTATGGCACTATCCTGCCATTGTTATTAGAAAGCGTAGCTGTTTTCATTATGCTCGCTGGATGGAAGGGACGTTGAGATTGTCTTAACCACTTCATTCTTCTTCTCTTATCGAGCTATATACCTGGATATATCTTAAACGCCTATGTACCATGGGCGAGGATATACTATGAATTTGATATAAATTTGTATCAGGTATATAAGATTTTGACCTGACTCTAGCTCTAGAGTTAAGTCACTAATACCGGTATCCTGATGCAGTACTTGCTATCAGTCAGCCATGTTCTTGCGCTTGTATTATAAATCTATCTCCTTCCCCTTTTCTACGTGACGTGCAATTGCTTAACCTAGCAGCTGCCAGGCCACCCGAGGAGGAGTGCTCAACACACCCTAGGCAACAGCAACAGCAACAGCAGCCGTAACCCTACCAACCCAAACATGTATAAATACCTGCCCTCCCCCGTCCAACCTTTCAATCTCTCTTTTCCCTCTTTTCTTCCCCATCTTAGTGCACGGGCTTTAGGCGTCACAGTGAGGAGTAATCCGAGTGCGTCTTTTTGCTAGTTGAAAACTATTTCCTGACCACTTCTGTCTGGGCTCGCCTGGGCAGAGAATTTTTGAAACCCCAACGACGTCGTAGTACGCATTTTTCCCCTTCTCTTTTTCTTTTTCGTCATGGCTCTGTCCCTGGTTGGACGGACATGAGGAAGAAGATGAGGTGACGATTGGTATGGTGCCTGGGATAGCTAGCTTCTCTATCTACGTGAAGATCGGAATGACTATCTATTGGCTACGTCTTAGATATATATTGGTTTTATCAATTGTTATCATATTATCCATGGCGCAGGGCACTACGTATATGTTATCAATATAAATCCGATATACCATCGTGTGGACATAGCAACCTTGAGAAACGTCTTCGATATCACCTTAACATATTATATCCGAAGGGAGAATTCCGTGTACAGGGAAATATCATTAGTGAGGAACTTTATTAAAGGTATCCTGGGGGAATCTTGTAAAACGCCGTGGAATGACAACCAAGTCCTTCTCGAACGCCATCATAATAACAAATCTGCATCTTGATTATGAATACCGCCTATACCCTCCACTTTGTACTCGTGCCTTACATTAAAATCGTTGTTGAAGGCATGGGACAAGACATCGTGCTACACAAATAGAAGGATTTCGTGCTTTGATTTGGCCGTAGGTACCGGAGCATTTCCTTGTGACTCTTGTACGAATAAACTCCGATACGGTATACGCTCGTATTGTTGATAGTGTGGTCATGCTCAGACAAAATATCCGGTCAGAACCATAACCTAACCGACAACGTGCATGGCATCACCTTCCATTCCATCTAGCTCTAAATCGTCTTCCTCCTCCTCCTCTTCTTCGAGATCCTCATCGCCCACGTCTTCCTTAAACCCGCTCTCTATTTCCAGCTTTCGTAACCGTCGGAGCATGTCTGCTCGCTGGGTATTTTGCCAACGGATCAACGCGGCCGAGGCGTGTACCTTGAAACCGTAGACGCGGGGTATGTATCGCTCGACGCTCTTCGGGGGGACTAACGCTGGGTAGACCTGAAACATGATGTTGTGGAACGAGGTACCGAAATACGCGCCGTCGATGGCAGCGTGTCGTGAGGACTTTGGGTTGTAGACATCTTCGCATCGAACGCAATAGAGCTTCACAGGTTTCTGATGTGGGATATCGGTCTGGCCCATCGGTAGGAGCGGGTGTGAATGACAGAAGACTCGCGGACATTTACCGAAATCGGCTTTCTTGTATTTGTCGAGCTGCAAAGAATTAGTTAGCCCATGTAGAATCCAATAAAGCGGTATGAACATACCATCTTCGCCAGGCCACGTGTAGTGACAATGTAACGAGCATGTATTAAACCATACAGATGACGGGCCGATTTCTCAATAGTCTCCCTCATGTCGTCATCGCAGTCGAGGTCGAATACGTCCGTGATAAGATCGAGAGCATACTGATAGTATTGTACTTCTGTGTTGAGTCCAGTCAGGTTGAAGCGGTCAGTAAGATAGTCCTCGTCAATCTCGCAAAAATACTCGTTTCCGCGCGAAGATATAAACTAAGGGCGCATAGTTAGCATCGATATAAGAATAACTCCTGATAATATGTCTAGGGAATTTAAATTTAATTTGGGGTTCGTGTAGATCGAGATGAAATGTAGCTCTGGTGGGCGTATGCCTAAACATTCTGGTACTGACAGTGGACTGCTTCCAGCTCGCAAAGAAAGACAATGAAGAGCTCTCTCGTGGGATTGGTGCGGGGAGAGGAGGACGAAGGACTGGAGTATAAAACGTCGGTGGGAACGAACTTCCCATGATCAATACTGGCTAAAAGAAAAAGAAATAGACTTGATGATATAATTCTTTTGTAGAAAGCAGAGGGAACGTCACTGTGCTTCGAGGACGAGTTTCCCACGAATCAAATACTGGGGAAAAGTTGCAAGTTGCAAGTTGCCATCGATACTTTCGAACAAAGGATATCTCGAACAAAGATAACGAGTTAATGTATTCCTAAAGTGGAATGCGCTCTCGATAGAAGCTCCTGTGCCATTGGAATTTTGGAATTTTGCTACCCGCTACCCACTACACCGCCTGCGTACTCGCGTTGGAAGAAGGTTCTAAAGAACCACGTGCACTTACCCAATCTCGCCAATAGCTAGTGTAGTCACTATCAGATTCGGAAGCGAACTCGTCCATCATGACCACGTCGGGCAGTCTTGACAGAACTGCTGGGTTTATAGTCGATGCGACGTTAAGTCTGGCGGTTAAGTCCGCGTGACGGGAAGGGACAGAAAGGGAAAGAGCGAAATGAGGTTTATAATGGATAATACTCTTAGGTCGCGTCGTATGGGAATACGGAGATGGAGGGGTTCAGGCGCAAACAACCTTAAGTCACCAAAATTGATGAAATGCCGTCAAGGTTCAGTGGGCTGCTAGTTGCTAGTGGGGGGGCTCGAAAAGTCCAGTGGGTCCAGATTTCAGCCTCAACAGCCTCGCAGATGTATCCGGGGATGTAGATGGTAGATGGACTCTAATCCGTACCTGCCCAAGCAATACTGGATGTATGTATGTAGGTACCTTTGTACGCAGAGGTAGTACCAAGATACATGTACATACCTTAGATTAAACAGCATCAATTACCTAAGATTAGATAATCAACTAAAGATCAACCTTCACTTATTATTGGTCGCATTATTAAGAGTATATGGTAGAGTTCCGAGATATTGCACCTTTCGGCATGCATTTGGACGTGTATTCAGACCTCGTCTCCTCTGGATAGGTAGTGTCAAAAACAATAGAATTACGTTTCAGCAGACCAGTCTGAGTCTACATTTACAATACGATCCTTTAACACCTAACCATGTGAATAGTGTAAACCACTTTTCGCTCGTCCCATTTTATCCCAAGCAGCCCCTTCTATCATATTGGACTAGCTGTGCCCAAGCTGCTTATGTCGCTCCCTGATTGAGCGTCGGAACCTGTCTCCGAGTTCTGTCTCGTTATGCGGGAGCTGCCGTTAGCTTTCCGAGGCGGCACCTCGAGTCTAGACATTATGTCTGTATCATCCGACTCTTGCTTGACTCGGATGTTGACTAGTTCCATTGCCTCTCTTAATGTCTCCCCGCTTTCGTCCATCGCCGCTAGGAACCGGGCTAGCTCTTTGCAGAGTTCCCAATCCTCTTCCCGGATCGCTCGAGAGAACAGCCGTACCGACTGCTCCGATGCTGCACTTAGCTCATCAAATGTGTGTAATATTAACAAGTAGCCCCCTGCCGTTTTTAACGAACCACGTTGAAGAGACTCTTCAAAAAGTTCTTGTGGTGGAGGTAGGTATGCAAAGAGCGTTCTCCAAGACCTAACCTCGGTTTTTCTTGTGCATTGAACTACAATATCTAGATATTGCTTAAAAGACGATAAGAGAGAAAGTACCCTGGGAAGAATAGCCGCCTCTGGTTTAGGTGCCGAGTCGACCTCCTCGTCGAGAACATGATGGAGTAGTACCTCTAGGCCGTGCGCAAAGTACTCGAGGTTTTGGTATTGCCGGGCCAATTTGAGTGCCGCGGCAGCATTGTTTGTTACTAGATAAAAACGCAGAATTTCAGGGAGGAAAAGATGAGTCTAAAGACCATTAGCCTAGCACGGGAAAGGATAACCTATTTACCTACCCTGATAGAGAAACGGAAGAAAGAGAAACTGATGTCTCGTCGTTGGACTAACTCGGGTTCAACTCCCAGCACGATTCCTTTACCTAATAAGATAGAGAGAGGATAAAAGTCGATAGGCATGGAGACCGTAGATGGTAGTTCTTTCGTTGGCTCAAGTGAAGTAGCTCGTAGAACTTCTTGGACATCGGGCCAGACTTTCAACTCATGGCCCTCAAAAACCCATAACGAATTCCGAAGACTATTTTCTTCGGCCTCTGTAGAGAACCGCGCACTAGATTCGCCTAACATGTTAACGGAAGACTGATCCCTCATGCTGACGTAGAACTCTACGTTGTGAGATATAACGCGCATATCGTATTTAAGCTGCCCTTCGTTATTGACGGACGGTTGAAGGAGGACGAGTTTGCCATCTACTAGGAACAAGACTGAGGCAAACGCGACATCTTGTGAGGGGTCACCATCGATCATTTGGTTCTCGGGTAATATCCAACTAAGGCCCCTCACTCTGGCAGGAGATCTGACAATACCGTGGAAAGCGATTTGTCCCACTTGTATGGGTCTTATCGCACCAGAAACGGGCGCAAATACAAAGTGATAAAGAAGGTTATCGTAGGTGTAGACTAGTAGAGAGTCTTCTCCAGACGGGGTAATCAAGACAATAGGTGCTGGCATTTGCTGAGTAAACATGACGGTTGAACTGTCTAGAGCAGCTTCTCTCGAATATAACCGGAGCTCATATGATCTATTTGCTTCGACAGCTGCTACGAGAATGTGCTGATACCAACACATCCCGCCTCTGACCTGGAACTCGTTCTCCATGGCATCATTCGCAAACGTCTTCCACCTACCGCTATTAACGCTGTAGTGTGCGAGTCCACGCCTGCCCGCAACCGCAACGTATCTGCCGTCGGAAGACACGACGGTGCACTTGATCGGCCATTGGTTCAGAAGATAATTAGCGGGGATCCTAGCGTTGTGCCAAAGGAACGGCTCGGCGGAGATACTGGTGAGATCTGGGAGATCGTAACCCCGGTAAACCATGACGCTAGACGAACTCTGTAGTACGGTACGGAAGAGGTTCGGAGGAGTGTAGCAACCAGTAACTGCACTCCGCGCCATCTCAAGCAACCAGATAGATTCATTCTGACGAGCAATCATCAATATCTCGCAAGCTCCGCCAATCCAACTAGCTTCTGTGATGCCGCTTAACCATCCCTCTTGATTAGAAGAGGTGATAGAGGGATTATTATGGAAGCTGTGGCCGGCAGTCTTTCCAAACACGCTCCACGTTGCCCATCCATCCTCATAACCGGCGAAAAGGCAATACCCGTCTGGGGAATAACTTAGAGTTCTTAGGGGACCTGCAGATTCGGACGAGACCGGGATTCGGTGGACATGAGATGGAGGGATGTTGCCAGCGTAATCTCTAGCAGAGTATACACGGATGCTCCCGTCAATACAGCCTACAGCTATTAGTGAGAATCTGGCATTAACGACTGCTTTGACGGCATGGTCGCCACCTCCAAGAGGCGAATGGAAGCAGTAGCCTTTGAAAAGTTTCTTTGGGTCGAATTCGGTGTTGTCTTTGGCCTGACTAGCCGAGATTCGTTGGACAGCATAGGCTTTCCCGTCACTCGTAACCCAAGTAGAGAGGTTCATGGGCCGATCATGGGTCATCTCTTTGATCGATACCTTCTTCTCCAACCAACCCATGCGACTCACGAGCTCAGTGCTCGTCTGACTACCGCTGCTGTCAGGGGTCCACTTGATGCATTGAACAGCCGCTGGCTTCTTGGTGGCGACGACCAACTCGTCATCAAGGGCAATAGCATGTTCAATACCGGCATCCACCTTGATCACCCTACGAAAACGGAGACTTATATCACGAACCCCGGCCCCTTCACCTGGACCCAACAGGATCTGGTCGGGTGTATTATTACCAGGACCCCCAAAGTGACTTTGTCGTCGCCTTTGGATGTTGCTATGGTCCGAAAAGTGAGGTTTGTAGACACGGGACTCGGCATCGGTAGCAAGTGAATACGTAATTAAGAAGCCTAAACTTGTTTGAACGACGAAGATAACGGAATCGGGTCTTAATAAGAGGGCGACATTAGTACCGTAGGATCTAATGGACGCTTCGGATCGGACGACGACGGCTTGGATCACGGTAGGCTAGGAGTAGACATTGCCGTGGTCAGCAGGTAATATTAAAATATAATGTTGTATAGAGGACGAACTTTGGTCTGCCATATTGTCATAGTAGTGGCCGTAATGACGGCAAATAAATGGCCGGTCCTAGACACTTTCAAAGCAATAATTGGATCTCCAGCTGGAATAGTACTTCCGCCAGTCCCTGCAAGATGCTGCTGGGAATTAGAGCTGCTACCATCATGATAAATGTCATGCTCCACCGAGTTTATAGCTGGAGTAGCTGGAGTTCTGAGACCGGGTGTGAGAGGTGGTATATATGTGTCCGGTATAGTTCTGTCTTTTTCGTCGAGAAGCAGGGGAGGGGGCGGCTCAGAGCTCGACAGTGAGTCGCTATCGGCGGCGATAGAAGAGACGCCATCGTTGGATACGACGAAGTTCGTCTTAGTAGAAACTTGACTGGTGGTTGTCGCATATATTCTAGGAGTTCCAATGGGCCAGTACATGGCTAATACAGGCCCCTGTAACCTTCATCCGTATGCCCCAAGTATTGGCAAGTCATAGACAAGGTACAATAAAAATATGAACGGCCAATCGTGCCGCTATGTGAAACTTGCATTAGCTGACAACATCTCGAGATGTGATGATGGACGAGCTTCTGGGGAAGGTTAGTTCGGGTTGATACATAAAGTACCTACCTAGGTAAATACATGTGCATTGATGAGAGGTATGCGGATGCATCGCAGTATGATTGGAAATCGCAATAATTGATTACAGCATTTATAGTAATATGTATCTTTCGAGATAAGAGGATATGTACCTAAGGTACCCAAGCTAAAGTGGGCCACCTGCCCAGCATTCACATTAGGTACCTAGGTACGTCTGAACCTTTGTATCTCGAGCTCTAAAGCTTCAAACAATAAATTCACAACCTCAAACTATTCAACTTTCGACAAAAAGCATAGAACTTTTCAGTATCCGCTGAACTTCCGTCGAAACATATAATGAAACACCATATACTGGCATGAAATTGTTTCTCTGCTCTATCCGCAGTAACGGCATAGTTATTATCTACTCGTGAAGCCATGGCGCGCGTAGTACCGAGAACGTCCGTGGCGGCTGATAAGTTCAAGACTATACTTCCCAATTTGAAGCCGACAATTTACCACGACCCGGCCGTGAACAAGACCCCAAATAAGTAAGTTACCAGTTACCTTTCTCCCTACTCGGTGCTCATAATATGCGTGCTGTGGTCTCATACCCCCTAGCGGGTACGACTCCTAGACCCTGTGTTATAATCTGAGATCTGACCAATTACTTCTGCTAGCATTCGCACAATTGCCTGGAATCCGCTGGGTACTTATATTGCGACTGGTTGCTTGGATAAAACGTTACGCGTCTGTACGTGATTCATCCTCCGCTCGTGATTCGGCGACATAAGAATACCCTTCAGGATGATGTAATTGGGATTCTATGTTCACTCTAGTATGGAATGCTAATTCTTAATTACTGGTTCAAGGGAATGCGGACAAACCCAATGTTCGTCAAACGACTGAGTTGAAAGGTCATACGGCATCAATTGAAAAGGTTGCCTTCAATCCCGTCAAGGAGCTCGAGTTGTGTAGTGTGAGCAGTGACGGAGTGGTTAGGTTCTGGGATGTCAAGACCAAGCAGGTCTTAAACGAGGTTAAAGGCTTAGGCGAGACCTTCACTTTAGCATGGCATCCCCGCGGCGAATGTGTCATTGTCGGGAATAAGGTAAGCATTCTCACCCAGCCTACTTTCCAAACTCTGACCCCTTGCTTTAGGAAGACAAGCTCTTCATCATTTCACCAACCCAAAGCACACCAATTTCGTCACACCAACAGCCTGTGCAGACTAACGACATTGCGTTCTGCTGGAGTGGCCAAAGGATATTTGCTACTACTGGAGATGGGAAAACAAGAATCCTCTCATTCCCGGATTTTGAGCCCGCCTACCAGTTTGACTACAAAGAAGGTCCAGATGCCGAATTCAAGTTGACCGGGCATACCTCATCCTGCATATCTGTTGAACTACATCCATATAACCGGTACCTAGCCACCGGTGGGACAGATTCGCTGATTTCGCTTTGGGAAACAACGGAATGGAACTGTGTTAGAACTGCGACTAAGATGATCGGCCCAGTTCGCAGTCTTAGTACGTAGATTGAAATCATACGCCGCAAATCATTCGCGCTAACTTTTCGACGCAGGTTTCTCTTGGGACGGTCTCTATATAGTAGGCGGAAGTGAGGAGGGTGAGTATCATCAAGTCATACATCTGTTGATACTGAGACTAAATTTCTTATTATGCTTGTAGGATCGGGACTGGAGATCTTCAACTCCGAAACGGGAGACCATCTCTGCACATATAAGACTACGACACCTTCTCCCGTTATTGCATGGTCTCCAAACCGATATTCACTCGCGTATGTTGACTCGGGAAGTCTACGAGTAATAGGGGCCAGCCCAGGGACGAAATAAGAAGACTTAGAGTCAGTTTGATTAACGGTTATGAAAACGGATAATTAAGAGAAGCCCATAGTTCCAGTAGCTACGACGACCGTCGACGATAAAGACCGAATTCTGAACGAATATAGCATTCGTATATGGTGGATTTAGGGGTCGTGGTAAAAAGCAGTCTCTAAAAAATGGGTTTATTAATCTAGACGGATAGGGGGTCCTAATGCTGCTTATTATTATTATCATTAGAGACAAGCGTTGGTTTAACAGGGTTGGGGGCGACTTCCGATACAGAATATGAGAGGCTATCTCACGAGATAATATTTCGCCAACAACCCTAGATTACCACATGAAGCTTACTGAGAGAGACGGCACTTTAATAAGAAGTTTGTTTAGTAGCACTGCTTTTCCCTGAAAGCTTTGATACCAAGAGTATTATACGGTGAATTGGCATCGCAATGCTCCGAGGTTTTTACTAATTTTCTCTATGCCAATCATCGTTATTTACCTCTTAAACTGCAAACTGCTTACGGTCGCCTATTTGATAGTGCTGAGATGGAGAAATTTTTGGGTCATTTGTCATTTTAAGCTTAGATGTAGGCTTAACTTAGCGCAGTTTCACTAATAAGTTTTCTGCTTTACAAACTGCGCTGTAGAATTTGTTGTTGTCTTACATGGTACAACAGTTCCCCACTTATCTCCTTCAGTGCAAGTTCTAGAAATTATAATAGCCAATTAGATTTAATTACAGCTTACATTGCTCAGCCGTTGTAAAACCAGTATTCCGGGTTCTATAAAATACATAAGGGTACTAATACGATAACGATACAGAATAACGGCAAGAACGGCGCAAAGAAGGAAATACTAGAGGACTCGAGACCCCGCTAATAATCTTATGTGGGTTAATCGATTCAATCTAGAACCCACTCTGTTACTTCTCAGCCCTACTGCGTAAGGTACATCAGCCGAGACACCTTGGAAGTCCCTCTTGCATTAGTAATTCATGTTGGTTCAACTTTTTCTTTGTGATTGGCAGGACATAGCGACTAGCGGCCGGGATTCATTCCTATATCCCTCTAATTTTGCATGAGTGTATTAGTAGAGAACAGTCATTCTTCCTGTTGCCTACATATGCCTTAACCTAGGGGCTTAGGTATCTACTTGTCTACCACGTCGAGATTTCGTATAGAGGCGTACACTATTTTCTTACACGGCGGCGCGTGGCTACTGTTAATCCTATCTTGAAGTCGGGGTCGCTCTTTAGCTCTGCATGTTCTTCAACGCATGTTCTTCAACTACTTGGTCCCAAGCAATAATACCATTGAAATTCCACTTATAGAAAAGAGATTCTATTAAGATCATTCCCCACATTACTAGACCCGGGATCCCCTCTCCTGAAGACCCTCTTCACAGCTTCCATACATTTTCCCCGTCTACTCGCCAATGCTTATCGACTCGATTTCCCGCCGTAAGATTTAAGGCCTATACCGCTCGGGGCTCAACGACACACATTAAAGCATCGAGACAGAGTGCCGGAGAGTGGGAAATATTTGAAAAGAGAAAAAAGATCTTAGAAGGGGTTGGATTAAATTGTTTCTATCGCCGATATCTCGTTTAGATAGTGGTCCTCGAACTGGCGCGCGTGCCCGAGACGCTATCGTGACTTGAGGCCGAAGCGCATCCCGAAACATATACGGCTCTCCTGTTCGGGGTCTTCTACCGGCGCACTACGGAGTCGTAGCCGCTTTTCCGCACCATCTAATCTTGTCTTAGACTATGTCGACTTCGACTGGCGAAGCCCCTGGCGCCGCAGCCAACGACTCTGGGTCTCAGGGAGGTACCGACAACAGTCCAACCGCCGATACGAGCCCGCCGGCCGCGCCTCAAAATCAGAATAATGGCAACGTTCCCAGGCCGAAGCGGCTAGCGTGTATGATATGTCGAAAACGCAAGCTCAGATGCGACGGCGTAAAGCCGAGTTGTAGCACGTGTACGAGGTTAGGACACGCTTGCGCCTACGATGAAGTGAGACGAAAGAGTGGCCCTAAAAGGGGATATGTGAAGGCTTTAGAAGAGAGACTGAGTAAGTGTCAATTCAACAAGACACCTATTAGAACATGCGAATAGGAACTAAGGGGTCTTGCTCTCATTTAGAACAAGTCGAGACGCTCTTGAACAAAACCCAAGAGCCGTCTTTTACCGTCGGGGTTGATAAGGGCAAAACGCCAAACGCCACCTTCGAACAACCGAATCGCAACCAACGAACCGCTCCGACGCCCAATTTCAATATCCCAAATCCTCAAATAAACATCTCAAGGGATCGTGATATGGACCAATGGCATTTCAATGCGGAGTCACCACAACCCGCCGCCGGCTTAGATGAATTTCACTTTGGCGGGAACTTGAACTTGGGCGGTATGGACAGCAGTTTTACGTGGGAGATGATTGGTCTTGGACTAGAGGAACCTCTCCCGCCGCAGGAGACGATCGATGAACTGTTAGAGTCCCTTACCGTGTATGCACACCATCTTGACTAACAGAAACTCGCAGGCATCAAATATACTTCGATAAGATCCATCCATCGTTGCCCATGATTCATAAATTCCGGTACCTAGCAGCAATGAATTTGTATGATATACCCTTTGCATTTTTACCATGTACCTACCCTTAACTTTCCGGACTGTCTTCATGTTGGTCTCCATACTTATTCACTCACTAGGGCTCCGAACCAACGACCTCCCGTTGCACTGCGATATGCGATTTGGACTCAGGCCTGTGCGGTCGCAGACAAATTCGCGGATTTAAAAGACCTCTTTTACCAGCGCACTCGTAAGTATATTGAGGCGGATTACGTCAAAGGCTATGGTGAGCACATGATTTCAGTAGCCCATGCTCAAACTCATGTGCTGCTTGCCTCGTATGAATTCAAGATGATGTACTTCCCAAGAGCATGGATGAGCACAGGCGCTGCTGTGCGCCTATGCCAGATGTAAGTACAGAACTAAAGCTGGCTTGGACGAATTTATGCTTACGGCCTTTAGGATTGGACTGCACAGACTTGACGGAACGGGCCTTGATGTGAAGCAATGTCTTCCGCCTCCTCGCGACTGGACGGAGCGTGAAGAGAGGCGAAGGACCTTTTGGATGGCCTTCTCGCAGGACCGGTATGCAAGTATCGGTACCGGTTGGCCTATGACGGTCGATGAGCGAGATATCATGACCAATTTGCCATCTTCAGAGGAGGCGTTCGAAATGAGTCGACCGGAACAGACGCAATCGCTTGCGGACTCAATGTGCCCAGCTGGAGCCGCCAAGCTTTCATCCTTTGGAGGTATAGTATTGATGGCCTGTCTGTTTGGCCGCAATCTCGTCCATCTTCATCGGCCAGATGCCGACGACCGTGACCACGATCTCAACGGGGAGTTCTGGAAGCGCCACAGGAATATGGACAACATTCTGCTAAATACGTCCCTCTGTCTACCAAACCATCTAAAACTTCCTGCCGGGCTCTCCAATCCCAACATCGTATTTACTAATATGAACATCCATACTTCGACGATTTGTCTTCACCAGGCGGCTATCTTCAAGGCAGACCGAAATAAACTCCCGCCGTCTGTTAGCGCGGAAAGCAAAGTTCGATGCATCACGGCAGCGAATGAGATTGCTAGCATCATGAGAATGGTATCTCACTTAGACTTGTGTGCTGTAAGTGCCTGTTGAAGAATCCTAGACGAGAACGCGCCCCGCATCTAACAACATTGTAGATGAATCCGTTCATATCTTTCTGTTTATACGTTGCTGCACGGGTATTTGTTCAATACCTAAAGAGTAGGCCGGACGACAGCCAGACAGCAGATTCGCTACGGTTCCTCCTTGCTGCTATGAATGCATTGAAGAGGAAGAACCCCTTGACTGAATCATTCTTGGTACAATTAGATGTCGACCTGGAAGCATTAGGAACGCGAATACCTAAGCTCAAGTCTGCCTTCCCGAGGAGTGCGGATAGCGTAAGTCACACTCTAAATCATTCATTGATAGATGTCCTAGACTGACAACTTCAAGCCTGGCTCCGGTATCAAGCTCCCAAAGATGCCTCATCGAAAAAATGGTGGTGGAGATGCTAACTGCGCAACGGATCACGAGTCAGGAGGTGGTGGCCTTCTTGCTTATCGCCATGCAAACGTAGGAAGTGATAACCCGCCAGATGCTCATCAACCTGAAAATCACCACCCGATCAACGGTAGACAACTGGTGGATGAGTTCGCGGGCCAAAACTGGCTTGCGGGAGAACAAAGCTCGGCTACTCGTAACCAGAATACCAGTAATAATAATTGCAACCACGCAACAATTCCGCCCATAATGTTCCCAGGGTTCGTAGAAGGGACTGGGAGCGATTCAAACGATATATCAGCATCGTCAAATACCGATGGGCCATCGAATAGACCAACGCCAAACTCGAGTACCGCCTCAGATAATCGCCAGAGCGCGACAGGGCCTGGTCAGATGGCAAACTCAAGCAGCAGGAGATCTTTTGATACTAGTCCTATCGGATCCCACCAGAGTCTAGGACCGCAAGCCGAGATAGACGCGACTACAGCCGCTTTCTTTCAAATGGGGGGTGGTGGTACAGGTATGACTCCGGACCAAGGCTTCACACTTCCAGATAATTGGGCTGGGCAAAATGATATGACTCCAGTAGCCGACGGAGTTCTTCAACACCTATTGGATGTACGAATGGATTTGGGATGGGACTCTAACACATGACGCTGTCACGAGGGTCGTTAACTAATCGAAGCATGTCCATTCTCTCGATATAAGCTGAATAAGAGCAAGGCAAGATTGGATATGTACAGGGTTGACCGTCGGGCTAGGCGCTTATATTACGACTTAGGACATATTGGGGCGTTCTAGGTGTTGCATGTGCAACATCGACAGGGAGGTTGCGTTCATTTTTGGAACTGTATAGTAGACTGCCATGACATGACGCACGGGGTTGGATTTCCTAGTACGTCGGTAACGGAAGGCGAAAGGAACCCTTGCCTCACTTATCTATATACTCCATTCATATTCACATAGACAAATAAATGACGAAATCCTACGATGTAGGCAGATACCCAAAGAAATGCGTATTTTACGAAGATATCCAGTTGGAGTTGAAAGTTGGATATAGTATTGCGTGACGCAATCTATAAACATGACGAGTGGAAAATATGTTTTTTATTATCTAATAGCCTCTTATCTGTCAAATATCGCGGGAACAGCTCAGGATTGGGCGACTCGATGGCTATCACGTACCCAGGTTAGAAAGCTGCAGATGCGGGCACGTAAGCTCCTTCGTATCACGACGGCATAATTACTAGAAAGGGGGTCCTTCTCACGAGGGATAACTCAAACGTGGCTCGTGATGAGAGGTTGATTCGTAGAAAGGGAACCAGACTTTGGAGCATTTTTCAGCTTGGTATGTGTCTCCGGGGAATGAGGAGTGAGGGGCAATACTACGAAGTCTGAGAGTAGGTATATAATGGATGAGATCTTATTAGATCGTCAGGGTCCAATTCCCGCTATTGGTAATGATTATTGGCCCAAGTATATTACATGTAGGTATTACCATTACACTTACATACATCAGCTCCTTGTATTGTGCCGCCGGTATCTTTATACTAGTGTAGCTTATAGTGTGGTTTATAGTGCAGAATATACTATGTAGTGCAGGATTAGTGTAAGTTGGGCCGTTCATCGGCATGTGGGGCCTATGGGAATTGATGGGATGATACGGTAGATATTCCGTAGACAGTTGTTCGTTTGGTCACTTTAGGACTAGACTAAGCTTCTTAGGGAAGTAGGTCTGGCCGCACTGGGACAAACTGCTATGTAGGTAAATGGGGCAAAAGACCTGCAAGGCGGGGCAATTTCGTAAGCTGCACTTTTCAGCTTCTATCGGCGCTTTTGGCATTTTTGGCATTTTAGCATTTTCTATCTGATCTTATTTTTTTATATTTTAATTTAATTTTCTACATTTGTACGTTCTAGGTAATTTCTAGACTCTTTCCAGACTTGCCGGTATCGTCCGATTCCGATTCCATTAACCCAATTTGTTGGCTTTCCACTACCTACCGTAGCCTACCTTGGATAAGCCAATTCCTCCAACTAGCAGAAGTCAAATCATGACGGCGAAGACGCTTCGCCTACGACATCCGACTTGAGAATGGGGTAAAAACATGGGTGGGCTGCGCCGAGTTTGTTCAAAGGCACTAAGCAGCATCGTCACCAAGCAGCAGACAAGCTATATACAAAAGGCATAACCATGATGGACCCCGCCTCCGTATCTTTCCCACAACCGCCGCCGCCGCCGCCAACACAGCAGCAGCAGCAACACCACCACCACCACCACCAACAGCAAACGTCTCAACCACCTCCTCCAGGAACCGAGGCTCCGCTGTCGCACGAACTTCACCATCATAACCATCACCCTCAACAGTCGCATCACTTCCGTGTCCCAACCCTTTCGTCGCATACGAGCCTCGATCTGTCCACTCTCGATCCTACCGATCCTGTTTTCCAACAACACCTCCAACGCCTACAAGTCGTATCCACCATCCCCGTCGTCCAGGGCGAATATACTTCGCATGTCCAAGATAATTTCGATAATGAGCCAAATGCGACTCACACGCTCCAGCGCTCCCATAACGAAACGACCTCCGACATCCGCCGAACTCCACGTCAACACCATGCTTCTCTCCCTTCATCGTCGCGCTCGGCGCCGCCTGCCTCCAGTCAATTCGGCATCCTAACACACAATGGCATGTCTCCAACTTCTATTTCTCAGCTTCAACAAGATGAGGACATGTTCATCCAATCGGCGCAAGTCAATTCCTCAGCTGCCGAATCCTCTGAGCCGAGACCCCATGGTCAATTGGTTAATAGGATAGTCGTTGACCCACCCGATCTTCAAGCTTGGCGCGAGAAGCTATTTAATGTCGACGATACGATTATCTTGACCAATGACCAGTAGGAAGCAGGATTCCTCTTGGAACTGAGTCCTTGTACTAATTACCAACTAGATTCGAGACATACTTTCCCCATATCGATAATGTTTACTCACATCGTTCCACCCAAAAGTACAAGCGCAAGCCTTTTATATCGCATTACTGGGATTGCCGAATGAAGGGACGACCACCAGGAACGCCCAAATCGGATGACCCTTCCAAGAAGAAGCGCAAGCGGAGCGCGCGCGAGAGAGATCTATGCGATGTTAAAATCAAGATTACCGAATACTTTCCGGGAGCGACGATCCTACCCGGTGACGGGGACTCGAACCTCAATTTAGCTTCGCCGAGTGTTTATCAATCTCCACAACAGCCGATGTTTAACGACGGTCTACCACGGCCTATGGATGCTCATCTCAACGGAGAGAAATTCTGGACAATACAAAGAGTCAATGGCAATGGCGGGAACGGTAAGGGCGACGGTGTCGCTGGTCCTCACAAGCATAGCCTAGAGAAGAGCGATGAGATCAAGAAGTCAACCGTACAGAGGTATATTGCCTCGCAAGAGAAAGAAGCAAAGAAGATTCAGGTGGGTTGTTCCTTGTACCATAGTTGTGATTACCTTTATACCCGGGTTTATATATGGAAAACTTCTGTCAAGATACAAGTGATCTAGAACGGTAGCATCTCCCTTTGGCATAGTGGAGGAAAGCAATTGTTATTAGAATAGGGTGGCAAATAGTCCCGCTCAGCTCCTATTATCTTCTATTCACATCTAGTAGTTCTAACAGCTAGCTAAAACTCTTCACACTAACTTACTCCTATAGAAGCCTTTACCTAGGAGGATGTCAGGAGCTGCACTTGCAACCGCAAAAAAGCACTCGAAGGAGCACGAATTAAAACTCTATGCTGCTTGCTTTTGGTAAGCTACCCTCCTAGAACATAAGGTGGCTCATAAGCTAACGAGCCTCCTTGTCAGCCCCTTTTCACAGAGAGTATGGATTGCTCTGGAAGCGAAGGGTATGCAGTATCAGTATTGCGAGACAGACCCATTTAAGCGCCCAACCCAGTTGCTAGAAGCAAACCCACGAGGCCTAGTTCCAGCTATTCGTGAAGGCGACTGGGCCAGCGGTGAGAGTGCCATCATCTTGGAATATGTAAGTCGTTAGGGTTGCGAGACGATTATGGACGGTTCCCTCAATCGCTGACCGTCTAACTTGCTAGCTTGAGGATCATAACCAAACGGTACCCCTCTCTCCCACAGACCCTAGATTAAAGGCAAACTGTAGACTATGGATCGACCACGTGGGTTCCCCTGGCGAATATCTACTGCGTAAAGGACACAGAGTCTGACTGGTTGATCTAGATCAATGCAAGGATAGTTCCGGCTTTCTTCGCTCTCGCTAGGGCTACCGATTTCACAAAGCAATCAGAATATGCGGAGAGGCTTCGGAGTGAGATAACGGCTCTTGTTCAAGCTGCTAACGACAGGGTAGGTTCTCCATCCCTTACTTTACCCTTCAAAACATCTCTAATCCGCCACCCAGGGGCCATACTTCCTCGGAGAAGATCTATGCCTTGTAGACATTCATTTTGCTCCCTTCGTCCTCCGTATGTCCCGCATACTCCGAGAGCTCCGTAACTGGGGCGATCCCGTGCCGGGAACACGTTGGCAACAGTGGACTGAGGCCCTCGAGCAGAACCCACATGTTCAGGCTACAACTAGCCAGAAGGAGCTCTATATCGAGACCTTGGACCTCTTCCTTAATAGCCGTCAACCCCACGGCGATCAGTTCGGATCATAATATAATAACGGGATATATCATCGTCGCTACATACTCTTCTACATACATATTAGGTACTTACATACGCGCATAAATACGAGGGGTTGTTATCGGATTCGAGGAGCATATACGGTACATACCATATCATACCATACACAACAGGACCAGGCAACCCGCTCAGGCTTCTTTGTTTTCTCTCCCAGTTTTTTCTCCCTTCCCCTTTTAGGACGGAGCTCATTCCGAGTACTTCAAAAGGGGTAACATGGGATCGGAGTTCGAGTGGTCTGGATCTTCCCCGTTTTGGGAGCCAGACATCGTTAGATACTAGTAGGTCGTACATATTGCATGGTCATATTCAGCGCATACATACATTAAGCCAGGGGTGGGTGGGCAGGTGGACCTGGGTAAAGTGTGCATAGAGGCTTTGTTTACTGCCATTGCACATTCTTTATAGGATCGATACATATATACATATAAACATATTCTTGAAATTGCTATGTCTTGGTGATAATATGTGGTCTGGTTGTTATAGTAGTTATGATTCTTAAAGGGTAGTCTCTTCTGAGTATTTTAACTACAGAAGAAAATCATAGTATATTACGAATAAGTAATATTCTAGGCTAACTGATCTTTCTGGGTAGAACGTAATTTGGCCTAGGAACGTTGGTCTAACACGAGTTGTTCTTATGTGGTTAGTTACAACTACTCGTGTTGACCCTTCTACCTTCGAGAACATCGGCACTTATTAGCTGATCCATTTCCCAAAATTCATACAAGGTAAACGAACATAGGGCTTAGTGGACTTTGGCAGATAGCGGCGAACTGGGCGTAAGCACTTCTGAGGCAGAAGTAACTCTCACCTGACCTTTAAGCCGCACTCTTACGCGGTGAACTGTTCGGCGCATAGGATTTTGAATATTCCGTCTTACATTAATAGTCGCCATGTATTCACAGGGATGTAATCAACCATTAACTTCGGGCGAAGGCTGAGCTGTCACGTTCGCTATACGAACGAAGATGGTCGAGCTAGCATATGCCTAATACGAGTACCCTTACATGGGTTTTATGTACTACTCGCGAAAAAATATGATCTACAATTGGGTAGATATGCCTTGCAGCGATGGCGAACTATGTCGAAGGTGAATCTGATCTTTAATGAAAGACAGGCTGTCTCTTATACACCACAAACTGTTCATAGGCTACAAATAGAACAAGTGACGTTATACTGAGACATAGACAAGACACTAAGAAGGCATTGGATATCGTCCGGGTTCTGATTGTGTAATGAACACAACGCCCAACAGCAACTTAATTTGTTCAAAGTTGGGTAGCCAGATACGATTACCTGTCGTGATGCGGCGTACTTGGCTATTCAGCTATTCCACCAGATTATATCCTCAGCAGTTGCGGTTGCAATATTGTGAAGACGTCGTAGGGGCTACCCTGCTAAATACTAGGATTATGTGCCTCGTAAAACCGAGCTGCTTCAGCAAAAACCTGATGACGTTAGTTTGTATGTAGGTTAGGTAGTTAGGCAAATTCAGTTAGCACATACATGAATGAGCCATTTAATTGCATCGCTCTCACCGCGAGGCGCAGCTTAGGACTCCTTTAAAGAATCTGCCCAGTGTTAGTAATAGCGTACGGCTGGATATTTTCTCTCAATATACGTCCCTACATAGATAGGTACGTATGTATATTAAGTCTTTGCTACCTACAATAAATTAAATTAAATTTGAGGTGAGATAGAAAATTGAATTTGACAGGTAGCGAGTATCTTGCTTTTAAAAGGTGTCGCCTAGTTACAGGGGTTGACGTCAGGTTACACGGAGCTTCAAGCTTGTTTTCGCCCGGAGCAGCAGATAATAAATTGCCCCGCTCCAATTGCAACGCACTAGCAACACCACCGTCACTGGCACTGCATCATATGCGCCTAATACTCGCCCTTGCCCCCCCTCCCCCCCCTTCCCCCCGCCGCTGTGAATTGCTGTGCTACTGTTCTGCCGTTCTGCCGTTCATTACTCATAACTTCCCAACTTCGACACTTCTTGAATCAGTTTAGAGTTTGATCCGTTTCCAACTACACAAACCATCAATTTACACTCTCACACTTATCACACCTATCACCCACTAACACGCGCGAACCATGTCCGCGTACGACCCTTATGACCCTCCCCCGCGCGAGTATTCTCGCCGGGTTTACCATGATGATCGCCGTGAGAGGGCAAGTCCCCGGTACACCGAGACTCAGGAAACATACTACAGAGTAAATCCAACGAGCCGCACCGCACTTGTGCCTCGAACTAGGGAAGATAGTGACCAGATTTCCGTCGAGGAAGTTAATAGAGACTTTCCCCCTCCTGGTTACTCCCGAGATATCCGTAGAGCCAAATCCGCCGATCCTGGGTACGATGATTACTACTATGACTCCCGCCGACACGACGGTGCACGGGATTACCACTCTCGTAAGAAGCCCGGCAGTGTTTATTACGAGGAGGAGGAGAGGGCCCGCAAGCGCGTTCTATCTAAGCAAGAAAAGATCATTGCCGCTGTCGCGGGTGGTCTCCTCGTTGCCGGCGCCAAAGAGTTATGGGATCGCCGTGAAGCGGAGAAGGATGGCGCCGAAGTTCATCGCAACATAGCCGCCTCCGCTGCTCTTGGCGCTGCCGGCGCACTTGCCGGCTACCAAGGAGTGGAGTATTATAGCAAACACGCCAGTAAAGATGACAAAAAATCAACCTACGTTGCTCACAAGGGACGAGACGGTAAAGTTGTCGAGTACTATTCCGACGATGACGATGACGATTCTAGACACCAAAAAGGTAACAAGTCTTTTCTTGAAAACGCCCTGGCCGCAGCTGGTCTAGGAGGAGCTATCAAGGCCTTGACCGGTGGCGGTTCTGAGAGGGATTCGAGAAGTCGCCGCGGTAGCCCAGACTCGTACCGTTCGCGAGGTAGCACAAAGAGCTCAAAAGATACTCCTGCGGCTAGAATGCAAAAGGCCGCCAAGGCATCGCTCGTTGCAGGCGCCGCAGAGGCTTTCCGTGTTGCGAAGGAGCCTGGCGGATGGAAGGGAGAGAAGATGAAGCGAGTTCTTACCGCGGCTGCCGGTGCTGCAACTATCGATGCCGCTCATGATCCTTCCAAGGATAGCAAACGCCACCTTGTGGAATCCGTTATCGGTGGCCTTCTTGGTAACCGCATGCTCAATGGCTCCAGAAAGGACATTGAGGAAGATAGAAGGACAGGTCGGAGCAGGTCCCGCTCTCGTGCACGCTCCGAGGGTGGCGGAGGACCCGGTCTTGCGGCGCTAGCTACGGCAGGCTTGGGAGCTTTGGGGGCTAAAAAGCTTATTAGTAGCCGGAGTCGGTCTCGATCTCGTCCTCGTCGGGATAGTATCGATTCATACGATAGCCGAAGCCCCTCGCCCCCAAGGCGCCGCAGCCGTAGCCGCAGTATCGTTGATAAGACACGACGCAGTCTGGCTAAAATTGGCCTGGGAAATGATCCTGATGACAAAGACGATGATCACCCTGACGACCGGTCTTCTCGCCGGAGTCGTCATAGAAGCCCGTCAGATGACCGCTATGATGATGATCACAAGTCTCGTGCCTATATGAGAGGAGGCCGAGGCCCTGCGAACGACAGTTATGATGAATATGATGAGGAGGAGCGTTCTATTGGTAGTGGACGACCGCGTAGTTCGTCCCGTTCACGAGGAGGTAGGTCCAGTTCTGCTTCTAGTAGTGATCTTGGAGATTCAGACGAAGATAAGAAGATGACGTCGAAGATGCGACGTAAACAACTCATTACGACGGGGTTAGCAGCTGTCGCTGCCATCCATGCTGCTAATAATGTGTATGGTAGCATGGGGCAGCGCGACGCGAGGCATAGAGCAGTTAAAGAAGGTAAACTGAGCCCGGAGGAGGCTCGGAAGTTGAAAACTAAGGCACTCTTGCAAGATGCGGCCTCGGTTGGCATCGCGGCACTAGGCGTCAAGGGCGCTCTCTCGGAGCTCAAGGAGGCACGAGAACAGGCCAAAGCAATTAAAGAATGGAATGAAGAGAAACAAAGGCGTCATGAGAAGCGGTTGGAGCGACTTAGGCAGGCAAATTCCAGCTCTAGTGGCAGGTCAAGGACTGACAATTGGCGCTCTTCAGTTCCGCCGCGGGAGAATCGGTATGACGATGGGCCCCATTACACTGACGGGAACCCTTATTCTGCCTTACCTGCACCTCCGGAGGGATACGACAGGAGGTGATAGGGTAGGGTTATCCACCACTATGCATTGACCTGCATAGACCCTACTCCTTTCTGCGCCAACTACATATAACGGTTTGCAGAGCATAATACCTGCACTGTACCGTACCCCCTTTGACGACTTGACGATTTACTGCGATTGATGTTTTTGGGAAAATATACAAGATTGGTGTATAGAGGGCGTTTGGAATAAGATGAAAACTGCTTGCCTCGCGTCACTGCTGAACTAACCCCGGCTGTTTTGAAATAAAAACAAAATCTCGCTCGTCGCATTGGTTTCTTTTATCTCTTCTGAATCTCTTATGATACGCGAAATTTTACTATTTACTATGATATATAACTGAGCAACTCGCTGATCCTGATTAATGTGTGACAGATGGGCGTCATCGCCGCCACCACCACCATCGCGACGACTAATGTATATATCCCGCTGTAATGCAGCAAGGGTGTTCTTGTGCTACCTGATTCTTACCTGCGTCACCGAAAACGGACCCAGGCGTCTGGAGCACCGGCCCTCTTGCAGCACAAGCGCGGAACAGGGACGTCTACCAGTGGACGTTCTCTCGCTAACCGGATGCCACGGGTTTACATCTCTGCTATCACGAAATTCTATTTGGGGGTTCGGAACCAGTCAACGGCCGTAATGAGGATATGCACAGGGATAGTAACAGGATCTGCAGGGCTTTTTATTGGGACTCGGTAGGATCCAGATGACAACGGTTCCGACAAGTGGGAAGGACAGAAAAGGGGAACAGTGGGACATATTAGCGCACGCGTGGCAAGTTAGGATGGGATTTGATAGATGATTCGGTTGGGAATCGCGAACGGGGGATCTAAGGATACTACTATAGGTACACGTACCCGGGGGGGACGGTGTGTATAAATGGAGATGGAGAGGGGAAATTGGGGATGGGGGGACGCTGCAGGTTTTCAAGATCTTTGGGTATTTCCGGGGGTGATATACTATGACTACCTATTTGATGACGACGATGACGACCTTGAGACTATTTCCGATTGGACGATGTCATGAAAGACTTTTCCGTTTCTTTAAAACAAGCATTACATTTATATCTTCCTTCTTTTACAGTCTATCACAAGTTAAATTATGGACTCTCATGCTTTTTTGACGCTGCTATATCTGCATTCTCATATAATGCGTTTACATGCTTAATATGTGATCTGCATACATAGTACTGATACCTGACGAGAGGTCGTTGGGCACAAGTATAGCCTATCAAGCAACCGGAATATAACTTGTCATGAGGACTGC